AGGAACTCCACAGGCTGACAGCAGCTGTTGTACACAGTTCATGAAGAGAGAACAATCGTCTCAGCTGCTGCTTGGTGTTTGGAATGCTGGAGACTGGTGGTATGTTAAGGACTTGCCTGATTAGGCCAGGCCTATTGAGGATAATCTCCCAAGTTTAAAGTTGGTTAATTAGTGACTTTAATTAGTATTTACAAGATCCCTTCACAGCAGTACGTAGGTTAGTGTTTGATTAAGGAACTTGGATGATGAGTGGATATGCTACAATTGGACGCTTCCCTGGTTGCCCTTCTGAGTTTAACCAGTTAATCCACAAAACCCTTCATGCTACCTAACCAACACCGTCTCTTAGACATTTAACATACGTCTCAAATTTAGCAAATCTTAAACAAACCTGTTCCACCAAGGCTTTGTCATGGCTGACAGCCCTGTCCTAGCTGCTCAGGCCATACACCTTAGAGACATCCAGACTCCTTTCTTGCCCTCAAACCCCACTTCAAATTGGTTTTCAAATCCTTCATCTTCAAAATCTAGTCAGAATCCAACATTGCCCACTGCTTCCAGCACTCCTCTGATCCAACCATTGCGGTATTTGCTTGGGTTAACGCTTTGTAACTTACCCTGCACCCCTACCTTTAACTTCTAGTCTATTCTTTATGCAGTAGACAGAATGACTCTTTAAGAACCTAAGTCAGACTATGTCACACGTCTGGTTAAATCCTACACTGCCTTCCTATCTGCCTCAAAGTAAAGCAAACCTTTTTACCATGGCCTTCATATAGCTTACCCTACATACTTTATGTAACCTGCTGTTGTTATTGGCTGTAACTGTAATTCTATTGCTCCCCTGAAAGTTTAATTACACTACTCCTTAAGGTGTTCCTGCCTCAGGGTCTTTGCATTTACTGTTGCCCCTCCATGGAATGATTCTTTCCTAAATTCCCACATTGGTTTTCCCCTCACCTTTTCCAATTATTGGTGAACATTCCCTTCTCTCTAAGGCCTTATTTCGTGACCCTATTTAAGTTAATAATGTGTATCTGCACTATTTCTCTCTAAGCAGTATATAACTCTCCAATATGCCACATAATGTATTTAATTATTTATTTCTTTTCTTTTCCCACTAGAATAAGTTCCTTAAGAATAGGAAAAAAACATTTTGCTTTCTATTGTATCATCCCTCAGTTTGGAACAGCATTTGTCATATAATAGATGTTCATAAAGATTTGTTTAAGGAAGTTGGAGAGGCAGGAAGGACCAGGTCAGGTAGGGACTTACTAGACAGTGGGAAAGGATTTGCATCTTATTAGACTATATTTGCATCTCATTATGGAAGTGCCCACAAAAGGACAATAAAGAAGCATCACCAGACTGGAGCTCAGGTGGCTACTTTTGAGCAATTGGTTAGATCAAGGGATGAGAGTAGAGCAATGGAGTCTTGGAGTCTTAACAAGAATTTCTTCTGTCTAAAATTTTTTTGTTTTCAGATATTTTACAATTTGAGGGCTCAAATATCTGTGAGAAAGTAAATTGTCAAAATACTACAGATGCAATTAGTTTTGAAAACTTCACCAGGGAAGTTTAAAATTGCATTAATGATGAGTAGGCTAAAACTATCTGCCATTGGAAAAGCATATTTTAAAGTTTCATTTACCTAGTGAAATATACATTTAGACTAGTGAATTTTAGAGAATATCAAAAAACCATATTCTAATTGCTGTATGTAATTTGCCTAGTACTCTTACAGCTGTGGTGTACAAAACATAATGAAGAATTACATGTAGCCACATTTTTCCCCTCAAAGTTCTCATGATTGAATGCTATTCTGTTAGCTTTTATTTGTGTTGCAGTGTCTTATATCTCTTTATCTTCACAATAAAAATGAGACAAACATTTTAAATAAGAAATTTTAAACTAAGTCAGACACTAACTAAGCAATATTTATTTCATCTTTTTTTTTTTTTAAAGATAACCTGTCGAAATTTCATTGGGAAGCAGCTCAAGCTTGATTCTTTGCCTAAGAAAATTAACAGATTCAGGAACCACCACAGATTTACTAAAAACACTCATCTATTCAGGTTAGAAAGCAATTTTAACTTGAACCTCTATTTTCCTTAAAACAAAATCTGCCATTGTGCTCTGCATGTCAAATCTTCTATTATAAGATGTGTTGTAAAAATCTGTTTTACAGATGTGTTGGAAAGAAAAAATCCATTTGTAAATGTCACTTCTGGGGATTAAACAATTTCTTTTAAGTTTAAATTTTTTGTAAGTTAAAGGGAAATGAAGGAAGGGGGAATTAATGGGGAAAGCTATTTTTGTACATTTCCCCGTTTTTATCTTTCTTTGTTCTTGTCTTGACTCCCATATCACTTCCAATTCAGTACTCAGTAAAGATTGTGGCATTTGCTGGCCCTGGTTAAGTTGTTCATCTTTTAATGAGAGCAGGAGATTTTGGGGACATCAAAACTTGTTTGCCTTTAGTTTTCACAGTTTCTGACAGTGAAACTTGTAGGAATGAGATAATGAAATAAGATGAACAATGAAAGTGCAGTGCACTTTCCAAGTTTGTCTTGTGGCATAGGAAGAAATGTAATCTTCCCTTGTGTTAGGATTCTTCACTGATTTATCTCTTGCTTTTATGTAATGTATGTGTGTATCTATATCATCAGTCACTCATTCATTTACTGAGTCAGTCATCCATTCCGTCATTCAGCAAATATTTACTGAGAATCTATTTATATGTTATAGTGCCATGCTAGGTACCAAAGAATACAAGATGAATGAGACCACAGATCTGTAGTGAACCACAGATCAGTTCACTAAAGGAGATTTAAATAAGTAAAGCAGAGATTACAGTAATAGGGCAAGAAGATTATAATATTAATCCACTACTGCTGCGTATAAACAATAATAGTTAACAGCTAGCATCTGCTGTTCAGAGACTGCAAAAAAGACAAGGCTGAGGTTGGAAAGTTTGGCAAAATTAGACAGTAGATTATCTTAGAGGGCAGGACAAAGAGACACAACTTTCTGTGGAGAGCAAGGGTAGCTGGGTAAGGATTTAAAGAAGGAGGAGTGGAAATGCAAATTAAAAACCACACTAAAGATTCCACCTCACCCCTGTTAGAATAGCCTATCATCAGCAACACCACCAACAACAGTGTTGGCGAGGATGCGGGAAAAAGGAACCCTCTTACACTGTTTGGTGGGAATGTAGACTAGTACAACCACTCTGGAAAAAAATTTGGAGGCTACTTAAAAGCTGGACATCGATTACCATTTGATCCAGCAATACCACTCTTGGGATAACCAAAAAAGACTGTTACTCCAAGAGGCACCTGCACATCCATGTTATTGCGCACTATTCACAATAGCAAGTTATGGAAAACAGCCAAGATGCCCCAGCACTGACGAATGGATTAAGAAAATGTGGATCTATACACATGGAATTTTATTTATGCAGCCATGAAGAAGAACGAAATGTTATCATTCGCTGGTAAATGGATGGAATTGGAGAACATCATTCTGAGTGAGGTTAGCCTGGCTCAAAAGACCAAAAATCGTATGTTCTCCCTCATATGTGGACATTAGATCAAGGGCAAACACAACAAGGGATTGGACTATGAGCACATGATAAAAGCGAGAGCACACAAGGGAGGGGTGAGGATAGGTAAACACCTAAAAAACTAGCTAGCATTTGTTGCCCTTAATGCAGAGAAACTAAAGCAGATACCTTAAAGCAACTGAGGCCAATAGGAAAAGGGGACCAGGAACTAGAGAAAAGGTTAGATTAAAAAGAATTAACTAGAAGGTAACACCCACGCACAGGAAATCAATGTGAGTCAATGCCCTGTATAGCTATCCTTATCTCAACCAGCAAAACCCCTTGTTCCTTCCTATTATTGCTTATACTCTCTCTACAACAAAATTAGATAAGGGCAAAATAGTTTCTGCTGGGTATTGAGGGGGGAGCGGGAGGGGGTGGAGGGTGGTAAGGAGGGGGTGGGGCAGGGGGGAGAAATAAACCAAGCCTTGTATGCACATATGAATAATAAAGAAAAATGAAAAAAAAATAAAGAAGGAGGGTGAAAGAGCATATTCATGTTCTTGAAATAACTGTTTACAGTCAGTGTGGGAACTGACTGAAAGGCAGACAGGAGGAAGCAGGGCAGTGGTACTCCTGACTTGAGTAAGAAAGTAGATGGATGAAGGCCTGGAATTGGGCAGGAGAATAGAGGTGAGAACAGATAAGAGAGGAAGGTGGAGGTGGGCCACAGGACTGTGTTCTGTACTGATTAGGTATAAGGATGATGAGGAAGGGAGGAGTTCACATTGTCTTGGTATCTGGCTTTGGGAAGATGATGCCTTCACCCAGTCAGGGAAACCAAAGGGAGGACTACGTTAGAGATGGCCTCCTGGGTAACACCAACATTTAGGAAGTTGTGTCAATCAAAACAGCTGGGGCTGTAGAGCAGTTATAGGTAGCCCTGAAGTCTCATGGCCTTACTGCACAGAAATGACTGTTTCTTGGCACCACTGTTGTGTTCAGTGACACAGCTTCCATGATTGTTTCCAAGTCAGAGCTCTACTGACAGGCATATGGTGATTGGTCCAAGCACAGCCTCATCAGACTATGTGTGAACGTACTATGTGCTTTATGCGAGGGGCACTGCCTGGATTTGCTTATTTAATTAATACAACTCAGTAAAAGAATTTCAATTATGCATTGCACATCTAGCACTCATACAAATGCTTTAAGAATTTTGGCTTACAGTCAGCCTAGTGAGGTAGGTTTATTGTTTCCACTTTTCAGGCAAGAAAAAGTAGATGTGGTAAGCATGCACTGGCTCTTAAAGTTGCTTCCAGAAAGTGACACATGTCATGTCTGCTGTCACCTCATTGCCCACGGTTGCATGGCCACAACTAACTTTAAAGGAGTAGAGTATTAGGTTCTGACTCTGTACTCAGTGTAAAGAGGCACAGAATGTGTGATGGGCGTAATGACTGTCATGGAGCAGACAGGAAGCTCAGTACATGAAAGAGGTGTGGATGTGAGAGGTGGAAGTAAAACAGATGAGAATGATACAGACAAAGCCAAGGCAAGAGATAAGGAAGAGGGAGTAGTCAACAGTCAGGTCACTCAATATGAGGATGGACTGTCTACTGCATTTGGCAATCTGGGTGGCATTGTCACTGGCCTTTCTTACTGTGACATGCTCACCTTGTTCTAGCTGTTTCCCCTGCTGAAATGCTCTTTCCATCACTAGGATGTCTGACTGAAAACCCCTCCCATTCCTTAAGTCCTGTGCACATCTTACCTTTTCAATGAAGCTTACTCTGACCATTCTATTTAAAACTGTGCCCTGTCTGCCTCCTCCTAATTCCTTTTACTCTTCTGTTTGCTTTGTTTATTTTTTTATTATGAAACACTTCTCATATACATATCTCATATACATACCTCATACTGTATAATTTAAAATCTTTTTGTATTTATTGATTACTAGTCTCTTCCCCTGATAAAATGTAAGTTCCATGAGGGTAGGGGTCACTGTTTTGGTCACTGATATAATCCACATGCCTTCATCATTGTCTGATGCATGGCTGGAACTTAGTATTTATTTGTTAATGAATGACTTTGTGACCTTAGAAATGATGATGAAGAGAGTGGGAACATTTTGAGTGGTGGATACAGTAGTGGTGGATACAGTGAGCTGCATCTGCAAATGGTCACTGAATAGAAGATTGCCTTTCAGAAAGCTTAGCAGTGAGGAGAGAGAGAGAGAAACACAGGTAGAAGGAAATACAGAACTCAGGGGGCTCAGGACGGCTTTCCTTTGCCTATGTGTCTCTTTGAAGAAGAAAAGAATATTTATATATTAAATGGAAAGACCCAGTAGAGGGGGAAAGCATAGAGACAGGAAGGAAATATTTTTGATACAGCAAGGACCCTGAGGAAGAAAAGGCAGAAACTGTGATACCAACAGGCGGGTGCACACTTCTGCTAAGGTGGAAAGAAGGAAGAGAGAATAGGCAGGCCTTCTGTAGGACAGTTTGTAGGTGGTAAAGGTGGAAGTTGAAGGTGTTCTCATGGGGTACCAGAAGTTTTCTTAATTGGACAGGGATTCAGGCATAGCCAAGGTTTCTAGGGTAGGAAGTTTCAGGAGGAATGTGAAAGAGTGAACAGGCCACTGGGGGAAACTGAACCGAAGGGAGACAGATTGTAGAACAATGTGGAGGGTCCAGATGATGTAGCTGGTGACCATGACTATGGGTTTTGCTGCCAGTGAAAAACAAATTGTCCCTTAGATTCAGTAAACAATGGGAGGACCACCTTCTGTGGTCAATAATGTGTGACTAGTTTCCATCAAAGAATGGGATTCTTCCTGGGTGTGTTCTCCTTGTCTTGATCTTGTCGGTGGAACCTCATGGCCCCTTCTTTTAGGATCCTTACCCAAATATAATTATTAGCTCTTCCATGCCCAAAATAGTAGCTACAAAATGTGTCAAAAATGATTATTCTCAAAAACGGTGACAAGCATCAAAGAGAGAGATATAGATAGAATATTGTAGCCCTGTGTACCAGGAGATACTTGTTGGTGATGGATGCAATATGTCAGAAAAGTACTTTGCTTGCCTCTTGCTAAACCTGCATTTGGTAAGGCAGGCTGGGGAGGTGGGACAGAAGAGAGGTTGGTGTAGTCAGTATACAGTGATATTTTGAGTTGCTTCTCAACTGGGGTGACATAGAGCCAGGTTGAGCTATGATTAGAGCAGGAATATTTGAAGGGATAAAAATTTGAAAATATTGTAATGACAGTGGTAATATTGAGCTGGAAATATATTTAGATTCTTTAATTTTTACAGTTTTAGGAAGTAGACATTATTAGGCTCATGCTACAGATAAGAGAACGAAATATTGCTAGCAAGTAGAGAGACTCATATAAACCCTGGTCTGTCTAATTGCCTCATTGGTGAGTGCTCCACTGAAATACCAAGCCCATTCTCCATGGCTGGCTTCCATGTTAGGATCTTCTTTAAATTTATAGCACTCATGAAATAACTGGCTATATTTCAGTGGCCAGTGCCACAGACACTTTATCCTGACTTATTGTGATACTGTGGTAATTTTTAGATGACCCTGTGTGCTAATTATGGGTTTTACATTGATTTATTCAAAACTTGCCTTCCAATTCACAAGTCTTTTTATAAGACTGTAGGACCTCTGTAACTCAGAGCATCTTTTGGACTATGGGGTTTAGGATGTTCAGTTTTTTCCAGTGTATTGAACTCAGATCGTTAACATGTTTATAAGTGTGTTGGGTCTTATGTATGTCACCATGATATGCTTGCAGTTATTTTATGAGACTGAGTATACTCATGATGCTTTCCACACCAGATCACTGCTTTGGAACCCCATAGATTTTCTTTTCGCATAATACATTTGGAAGTAATGCTTAATACATTTAATTCTTCACAACAGATATTGTAATGCCCCAGTGTCTAGGAACATTTGGTGTTCTCATTATTTAACAGCATTTTATTCTCCTTTCAACTATTTAATAATGCATATGTAATTTGGTATAGTCTCGGTAGGATTTGGAGACGTGAGAATACCTCATTTTATAGATTATTCTTGCATGGATGAGTAACTTGCCTGCTTGTTAAGCTCCATTGGGGAGATACCCTGATATGCCTTTTATTGTAACTGTTTTTGCATTTGGAGAACTTTTTCTTGAGTTTTAACCTTACTTGTATTTAAGTTCTCTGATAGGGTTATTTAGTTCTCAGGTGTGTTGGAATTTTCATGCCTTTGGCAGGCGTATTTTATTAGTGCCTCTGGGCATATAACCAACTGTGTAGAAAGCGGCCCAAAATTTCAAATCGCTCTCTGGGTTCCTTCCTCAGTGGACCCAACTCTCAGGAGTCATTGGCATTTCAGCTTTCATTTCTACATTGGTACAGTCAAAAATGTAAAAACCCATTTCCTCCTTCTCCACTGCTACCTCTTCCTCTTTACCTATTTCAAACTGCTGAAGTACTGTTAGAGTCTTTGGAATAGTTTCTTGAATTATCCATGAAAGTTTTCTGAGGAGCCTCCTTGAAACAGAGCTATCATGATAAAGGCTCTGAAGTTAATGAGACTTCCTCACTGCTTTGCTTTATTTATCCCATGTAGACAGCCACACCACCACCACCACCAGAACCCTAATTAGACTATAGGGAAAAGGTGCGCTAGGGTTTGAAAAGAGGTGGGGGAGAAGGAAAACAGAAAGTGAAATATAGTTTAGGAAAACTATATTTTTCCTAAGCATTATTTATCAACAGGTATTTGATTTAACAAGTAGCAAGATGATTTTGTTCAGACTTTTTATGATAAATATCAGTGCTTAGGTTTTGTTCTAGAATGTAAGCTTTGTGAGAGCAAGGGCTATGTCTGTTTTGTACACTTGTATCTGTCCAGTGTCTGGCTTGGTGCTTAGTAATTGTAAATGTAGTCACACATTGCTTATTGACAGGGATACATTGTGAGAAATGCATCGTTAGGCAGTTTTGTTGTACCCACACCAAAGAGTGAGCATACACAATCTAAAATGGCTATGACATCAGTAGGTGATATAGTCATGTGGACTGCCATTGTATATGTTATGTGACAAATCCTTGTATTTTAAAAATGGATAGCTAGCAGTCATAATTTGAGCCAACATCTGTTGAATGCACGTGTACTCCATGGAGGCCACTATGCTAGACACTTCATATACAAGTTAAAACAACAAACTTCTGAAGTAAATATTACCATCCCAATTTTAATGGATGCTTAAAACTAAGGAGAAAGAAAACTGTCTCATATTGTTAGTATGTAGAGATTTCCAGACTTCCTCCTTTCTCTTTGCTAGCTGTTATGGGCCAAATGTTTGCAGCCTCTCAAACTCATATGTTGAAGCTGGGCGTGGTGGTACATGCCTGTGGTCTCAGCTACTCAGGAGATGGAGGTAGGAGGATCAAGCCTGGCTTGGGCAAAAGCATAAGACCCTATCTGAGAAACAAACCAAGGCAGAAAAGGGTTGGGGGTATGGCTCAAATGGCAGAGCACTTGCTAAGTACAACAAGGCCCTGGGTTCAAACTCTATTACCAACTACCCCCTAATTCTATATGTTGAACTTCTAATCCCCAGTTTGATGATATTGGAGCTGGGGTCTTTGGCAGATGATAAGGTCATAAGGTGGAGTCTTCATGAATAAGGTTAGTGACCTTTTAAAAAACACAAAGGAACTCTCTAGGCCTCATCCTGCCATGTGAAAGATATCTACCAAGAGAAGGTAGCCATTCGCAAGCAAGGGAAAGAGTCCTCACCAGAATTTGACAATTGTTAACACCTTGATCTAAGACTTCCAGTGTCCAGATCTGTGAGAATAAATTTCTGTTGTTTGTAATCCATACAGTCTATGGTAATTTGTTATAGTAGGCAGAACTAACAAGGATATTTGTGTATCTTCTTCCCTGATCTCACTCTCTAAGGAGAAAATGATAAAAATCCAAGCTCATGAATTCTTCCAAGGAAAAGAGGAAAAACAGAACAGCAATCTACAACCTTCAGGGTGTCTTGCATAGTGTGGAGTATGAGGAGTAAGGGTTGTGCCTTGTCTGGGTCTGTGTAGGATAGGGAAGGCTTAGAGGAGAGGGGGACTGAGGGAGGATCAATTGAGATTAATCTATAGAAAAGATTATCAATAAAGTGTATCTCAGCCACTTAACTTTGAAAACCTGTAGTTATTCATTTACATAACATACATGTTTTTGAGCACATACAATGTAACAGCAGTGGAAAAAATGGACAAAAATGCCTGCCCTATCACTCTAGTGAGAAGAGACAAGTCAGTAAACAAATAAATCACAGTATGCCAGAAGATGATGAGTGCTTTGGAGATAAGTTGGGAAGAAGAATGTTATAAATTTAAGTAGGGTGATCAAGGAATGCCTCACCAAGAAGTTGATTAAGGAGCTGTGCAAGACATAAGAGGATCTGAGGGAAGAATGTTCTAGACTAAAGCAAACCACTGGTGCCAAGACCTTGAGTAAAGCATGTCTGATGTGGGAGAATAGTAAGAGGAGAAGGCAGAGCACTTGGGATTAGGGGAACCAGTTCATGTAGGCCCTATAGGCTGCTCTAAGAACTTTGGTGTTTGCTCTAGGTAATTGGGGGAGAAGATGGAGGGTTTTAGACAAAGAGGTGACATGAGATGACATACTTAAAAGGAATCCTCTAGCAGCTCTATTGATAGAACATGGTGTGGTCAGGGTAGAAACAGGAAGCCCAATTAAGAAGGCAATTGCTGTGTTTCAGAAGAAGATGATGAGGTCTTGGGACACAGTGGAAGTTGAGAGTGGAGTTGGTGAGGGTTGGAGAGGTTCTACGTATTTTCTCAAGGGAGATCCTATAGGGCATGGGAGGACAGAAGACACAGATGATTCTGTCATTTGGTCTGAGCATCTGCCAAAAAAAAAAAGCCATTCTTTAATGAGATGGGAAAGACTATGGGAAGAGATGTTTGGGGGGGGGTGTGTGTTGGGGAGATTAGGAAATCATTTGGGGACTTGTTAGGGTTGAACTGTCCTTTGGACTCACAGCACCTTAGATAGATGAGTCTAGATTTCTGGAGAGTTGGGGCCAGAGACACAAACTTTGGAGCTACCAGCATGTGGACGGCATTTAAAACCATCAGACCAGAGAGCAACATTTCCATGTTAAAAGGGAAAGAAAGGCAGTCTAAGGACTGAGGCCTTGGGTCCCCAGATGAAGACTTTGGCTTGGTGAGAATGAACTAGCAAAGAGAAATTAAGAAGGAATGATAAATGAGCTTGGAGTAAAACCTTTAAGGCAGAAGGAGAAGGGGAGAAGCCTTATTTAGGTGAAGTGAAGATGGAAAACAATGAGTATAGAAAACTTTTTTGAGGAGTTTTGGTATAAAGTGGAGCAGAGAAATTGGATGGTAGCCTGAGGGGAAACTGGAGTCAAGAAAGACATATTTTGTCTTTGTTCTTTAAAGATAGGAGAAATAATAGCAAAATGTGCTGTTGGGAATGATTCTGTGAGAGGAAAATCGATGGCTTGGAAAGGGAGATGAGAACTGCTGGAGCGATGCCCCTGAGGTGCAGATGGGCACAGGTGCAGGGCTGGGTGAATCTGGTGGAAAACCTCCTTGGATCGCTTCAGTTCTTTTTTTTTTTTTTTTCTTTCCACTGGTTAGGAAGCAAGTCACCCACCCTGAGAAGCTAGAGGAAGAGGTGACTCCCCTCCTTTTTTCTTTACCCCAAAGCCAATTAACCACTCCTGTTGCTTTTAATGCTGGAATGTTCCCTGTGTGGCTATGTCATTTCCATTGCTATGGTGTCTGTGTTGCAGCTTAGTAGTCTCCTAGCCTCCAGCCTCTTTCAGCAGCAGTATGATAAGAATATGACTGTTGGCTTACTCTTCCTAAAACACCATCTCTTTCGGAGTCTCACTCAGAACCCTTCCTTAGTGCTCCATTTGAAGAGAATGAAGTTCACTTCCTCAGTGAGATCTTCAGGCTATGGCAGACCCTTCTTTATTCAACAAGATGGGCCATGTCAATTCACAGTGCCCTGAACTCCCCTCCCTTCCTACTGCTTCTGTACCTCTGCTGGCACAAACTGATTCTGTACCCTGAGGAAGCCAAGCCACCTTAATTAGCTTATACCTGATTAAGAGACTGATCTACCAGGCTCCTCTATGTTTTATTTTCCTTATCTATATAGTGAGAATAATAATGGTTATTTTTAGGAGTCAATTAATCACAGTAAATAATTTAGAATGGTTCCTGACATAGTGTAAATCCTCAATAAACTTAAGCTATTTTTGCCCTTGTTCTAGTATCTAAAATCACTTCCCTTTTTCTTCCTAATCAAAATTTTTCTATTCTCCAAGAAGCCTTTCTTGTCCAGCATTTTCTGCCCTTTCTGGTTTCTCTCTTCCATCTTTCCCTCATTTTACCGTGTAAGTAGATACTCCCTGCCAATGTGACTTTAATGTTCCAGTATGAGGTTGCCCCACCTCTTCATCTAGTCAAGGAACTTAATGAGGGCAAATGTCTTGGCTTTTAATGTCTTGCAGCCCTGTTACCTACTAGGTTGCTGCACTATCAAGACCCCAGGTTTTCAAGGGTCTTTCCATTTCCTCAGATTGAAGAAGTAAGTCTGTTTGTAATTCAGTGCTAAATCCTGCAATTCCTCTCTCTCCTGGGCCTTCTTCATGGTGTAAACCACACATAATTTCGAGAGCTGCCCCTCACTCGCACAGAGACTGCACAACAGCTCTCTCCCACCAGCTCCCCTTCCTGGCACTTTTCAGGATGGGTGGTTAGTTACAGACCCACTTACCACCCTAGCTCTACCTTTCCTCTGCACTCTTCTGTCTTAGGAACCTGTCTTTTCTTCCCTTCAGAGAGCAGTTGCCTGTCTCCAAGATTCTTTGTTTCCTCCTTTCGTCTCTTTCCCAAGGCACCTTTGCTTTGAAGAAACTGCTGAAGAGCAGATTATTTCATTTTTTATGATCAGCAAAAGAAAAAGTAGGAGACTTCCTAAGGAAAATTGGCAAGATCTGAAGTTATTTGCATTTCATAAGAACCAAAACTTATTTAGAAAAGTTGTATTTTTTTAAAAAGAACTTTGAAATATCCCAAAAGAAAAGAGAGAGAGAGAGAGAGAGAGAGAGAGAGAGAGAGAGAAGAGAGAAGAGAGATCTGAATGTTGAAACACCTGCTGCAGATCTGGGGGCTTTGAATTTAGCAGTTTCAGGTTGGGACCAAGAAATTCTCTGAATTAGAACCACACTTACTACTAGTTGGCTCTGTGCAGCCTTTTATCCCCAGCATCCCCCTCTCCTTTCCTTTCAGAATACAGCCGAGCCAAACAGCTTCTGAGTGTGCCCGTGGATGTGACAGACACTTTGAGATGCTTTAGAGAGACCCTGGAAAAATCCAGATACCATAACAGATCAATGCGACACAGCAGAAAGTTGCTTTCATTATTTCTTGCGCAGACCCAAGGTAAATGCGTTTTTTAGATAGACCACACTGCCCTCGCTTGTGTTCCCGACATGCCCACTCCTGGTTGCCTTTTACTATCTTCCTCTTGTCCAGTGAATTGTCACCTCTCTCTTACACTTTTTCTCAGCCAATGCACTTTCCACCTGCTTTTATACTTGTTGTGAAACTAGCAAACTCCATTAAGTATGGTAGATGTGAAAATCATGTTCATTAATTTTTCAGATTCTGTACAGTAATGTTCTTACAGTTTCCTTTGCAGGTGTGGGGCTACGCTCATGTTTTCCTTTCATTAGTAGATAGATTGAGTCATACTGAGTTAACTAGACCCTTTCACCAAACACCACTTTATCAACCTTGAAGACATGGATGCATTTTAAAATAAGCATCCATAAGATTTCTTATTAATACCTTAGATTTTGATCTTAGAGATTTCTTTTAGCTTAAAACCAGATATTCCTAATCGTTGGTTCCATTTCATTTGTGTGTTTTTTGTCTTCTCAATATCTATAAATTTGTGAATGCAATTAAGGCAGAGTTTTGAGTGGTAAAGTGGTAAACTCAGGACTTTTTTCCAATTAGGTTGAGAAAAATCCTGTATTACCTATATTTAGGTCATTTAAACAAATTTAAAGCTCTATATTATGCCTCTTGCTCTCAAACCAGAATAATAAGAAACTTAATAAACTTAAACCTAAAATAATTATATTTTAAGAAGATTAAAATTGGTTTAAATATACATCTAAATAAAATACTAATTTCCACTGAACCAGTCTTTGAGAAATTTGCCTAGTTTTTGTAGCCAATGATGGTTTTATTTATTTGCCTATTTCTTTATCTGTTATTGTTGTTGGCCTCCCCTTTCCTCCCTCCAAAAGCACTGTCTATAAGTAGCCAAAGTTTTTGGTTATATTGTCTGCAGATTTACTTTATGTTAAATTAGCATTCATGTTTACCTTCTTTCAATTATGGAACCCATTAACAATGGTTGGGCATGAATTAAAAAATCAAAATACAATCCCTAAGAATGGTTTGCTAGCTTGCCTGAGTCTCACCTGGTACCAAAATATTCTCAACAGCTTATCCCTAGTCCTCAGGCTCTATAGACTTCCAAATCCAATTTAGTTTCTCTCTGCTCCTTCTGACTACCTTGCTGGCATATTTTTTCTTTTACTTTTTCCTGTATGTTCTCTCAGGCCAGAACTACATAAGTGTTACTTCTATCCCAGAGGTTTCTGCCCCAGAGGCAAACTAACATATTGCTGTTGGAAGCTATTAAAAAAGGGCAAACTCAAACTGTGTAACTTCCCTCAATCCCCAGGAGAAGCAAGGGATTACTCAGCATTAGCTTTCTGGCTGGCTGGCCCTCTGTAGTGCTCTATATGAAATAACTTGGGTCCAGAGCCCATCCATGTACACACACCTGGGGGCTTCAGAAAAGACCCTGGAAACAAAGTGTGACCCTGGATATAAAGCTGCAAATAAATCTCAGCTAGCACAAAATCCTTCCTTCCTTCCCCCGTTCCATGTCTTGTTCCTTTTCCTTCTCCACCAAATTCCCTTCCTTCTCCATTAAAAATTTTTTTTTTGTTCTGTTTCCACAAATTTAGGAGAGAAAGGAATAAACAATTCCAGATTTAATACTGGAAAAGTGGAATTTTGCCTGGGGACAGAAGAGATGCACATGTCAACACCCCCCAATCTTTCTGAGGAGCAGTTCAGAGTTTTTAGCTCAGTGGAGAAAAGCAAACTTCCCTATTCACAACTAGGACTGGTAATTTCTTCTTATCACCAAACTATTGGTAAGGCTAAACCATTATGTCCTTGTCAACCTGACTGATTGCATTAATGTTGAGATCGCCATGGTCCTGAAATGTCACCTTTAAAGTAGGATGAGAAAGTTGGAACAGAGGCTATTCATCTTACCCTTGTAGGCAGGGATGACAGTCTCCAGACAGAAGATGCTTTTGGCCCTTCCATTGCCCTCTTGCCTAGACTGGCTGTGACCATTGTCAGATTCTCAGCCACCTTTCTGTCCATCCCCCTTTTACTGAAATTGTGGACCTCTTGTGGGGATGAAGACACTGATGTGCTTTTGCTCTGTCCCAGCTAATTCCTTTTTCCTCATCTTTCTCTTTGATTTGAGTTTTCTTCTACAACTTCAACAATATATTATCAACTCTTATTATAGACCCAGTGTCTCCCTTTTTGCAATAGACATTTTGTAATTCCTCCTTTACTTCCTGAAACAAAATTTAACATTTAATATATTCTTCCTGCATACATTATTTGCCCCACCCCCATCACTATGGCACTTTAAACAAAATCATTTTCTAATAAGAGAATCTGTGGGTAGGTATGTAAATGCTCAGGAGTTGCAAGGTGTGAGAAGCGTTTGGATGCCTCTGCCTTGACTGTGGAGTCACCATTAATATGTCAGCTACAGATGTGAACTGACACAGGTGTGTTGTACTGGTGACTTAAGGACCATAAGCACTGTGAAGTATGGCGACATGATTTTCTAAAATTGTGAATAAATTTTGGTAAAGTTTTGAACAAAACAAAGTACATTGATTGCATTTCTGGAAAATTCAGGGCATTTAGAAATCATTCAACAATACTCTTTTCATATGTAAAATGAAGGTAACTATTAGACTCAGGTAGTTGTAAACAGGTTTCTCATCTTTTCCCTCATTGTGGGAGAAGTTTCTGTGCATTACAGGCCATCCAGGATTGCTGGTCTTCACCTACAAAATACATGTTGAGTTGAGGCCCTCATTGTGACAGCTAACCAAAACCTTTTCTCTCCCTCTTCCTTCATTCCTTCCTCCCTTCTTCCCTCCCTCCCTTCCTTCTTTCTCCCTTCCCTTTCCTTCCTTCTCTCTCTCTCTCTCTGTCTCTCAAAACCCTTTGTTAGATTTCTAAAATGCCCTCTAGGACCCAGTGTTGCCCTCATTAGGAACCACTGCCATGTTATTTGGGGTTTTGGACTACACAACTTTGAATGCATGCATTTATTAGAAAACTTTAAAAATATGACATTAAAAATATTTTTCTGCATTGAGATAAAAGGAAAAATCTAATATGCTATGATCTTGTGACATCTGTGCTAAAAATAACCTCTTTCAGCTTTCTTATCTGCTATAGGAGAATCTCTACATCTCTCCATGTGGCATTCAAGGGTCTCCAAAATCTTGAGCACTACCTCCCTTTTTAAGCTCCTGGTCCACTTGCTCTAAGAAACCATACCGCAGGCACACCCATCCTTCTCATGTATATTATCTATCTCCTTATATGTCTTTTTCATCATCTCCACCTGCCTGACTTTATTCTACTTTTTCCAGGAGCCTTCTTGTTTCATATGTGTTAGACCCAATCTCCCAGTCTTCAGTGTTCAAACAGAGCACCGTTTGCTTTCTCTCTGGGTATATATATTGTATGACATTTGAAAGCACTATTAACTTGCAGCCTTCTTATTGCAATGTACACAGTTAAGGAATAATGCAGTTTAAAATATTCTTGCAAATATAAAAGAAATATTTTCTTTGGAACTGACATTTGTTCTTTCACTTGATTAAAAATACAGATGTTCTCCAAGCCAGCAATCAAAGAAGTCTTAAAGTTCAGGCACTGCATTCACTTGGAAATCTTCTCATCTTTGCAGAAAAGAAAAGGTAGCTCTTTAGGAGTGAGTAGAGCAAGGGCAAACTTTGATAATTTTTTCATTATTTAGGATAAAATATTATCTTCCATAAATTTTAGTTCTATGATAATAGTACATTTTATTAATTAAATGGTACCTGAGATAAACTGTTATGAGCAATGAACAATATAAATTTATTCTCTAACATATTAATAAATACTTGTTTTTCTTTTTGGCATATAGATTTAATAATAGGTCTCAGGAAACATGCTCTTTGGTGCTCTGTTTCTGGTTTTTAGGGCTGCTTTTAAGTGCTGGTGTCAAGCTCTTGATGACATATTCAGAAAACCAGATGTGCTACATACCTGGAAAGAATTTGGCACCTCCCTCACCAATACCACCAACAGCTCTTTGCTTCCAGGTTTTAAAGACTACAGTGAAGAGTTTCTGTCAAAGGTTGGCATTTGGGGGTGCTTGCAGGGTGCACTCATATCAGCAAAGATAGCACAGTGAGTATGAGAATGTAATGACCCATTCTTGCTACTAAGTGTCTTCGTGGGTACCCACCTGTTCTGTGAGTGCCATGCCGCTCCACACTAGATTCTTGGACAATTATGTCCATATCATACAGGGTAATGCAGTTAACTTATTGTGATGTTTATTGTTTATGATTTTCTTCTCTTCCCATGACATCTTCCACCCTCAAGATTCATGGGAACAGGCCTGTTCATGGGATACACTATATCCTATTTATGGGATACACTGATGAATCTCAAGTTCCAGGCCTGGAGTGACCTTCAGTAACTACTTGTAGAATGAGCACAAAAATGAAAGAACAGTTAGTATGGAGGCAATAATAGTGTAGAGTCTGGCCAACTTAGACCTAATTCAAGAGCTTCCTAGTAACCCTTGTCTCAGCGTGTTTGTTAGTCATTCTCTCTGAGCCTCAGTATCCTCACCTATAAACTGTGGTGGTAAAAATTACTTGGTATACTCTACTAGATTGCTTGGATTGCCATAACAAAGTACCACAGACTGAAGGCCTCAGACAACAGAAATTCTTCTCCCGGCTCTAGAGGCTAGATATCCAAGATCAAGGTGTTGGCTCTGGTTTCCTCTGGGGCCTCTCTCCTTGACTTCTTACATTGTCCTTACATGGTCTTCCTCTGGAGGGGTCTGTGTCCTAATCTCTTTTTCTCATAGGACACTAGTCATATTGGATTTTGACTTACCCATAGGACCACATTTTAATTTAGGTACATCTTTAGAGACACATTCTCTAAAGAAGAATGTGACATTTAGTCACATTCTGAGGTTAATGGAGTTAGACCTCACTGTATGAATTTTGAGGGGTGGCAATGTGGCCCTTAACAATGTCGTATTTGATTCCTATTGCTGCTGTAATAAATTGTTACAAACTAGTGACTTAAACAAAACAAAATTTTTGTTGTTTTGTGGTGCTGAGGATTAAATCCAGGGCTTTGTACACAATAGGCAAGTGCTATATCAGTGAGGTACAGATCATCTAATTTACTGTCTTACAGTTATGAAGTTCAGAAGTACCAAAATAAAGGTGTTGACAGGGGCTGTGTTTCTTCCGGAGGCTTAAAGGGAGAACCTTATTTCCTGGCCTTTTCTAGCTTTTAGGGACCTCTTATATTCTAGCTTCAACCCCATCTTCTATTTTCCTCTCTTCCCCCACCCTTCTCATCTCTCTTACTCTACTTCTATCCTTGCATCTCCTCTGAGCCTCTGACCTTTCTTTGTAAGGACCACTATGATTACATTGGAACCCACTTCAATAATCTGGAATAATCATCCCATCTTAAGGTCATTAGTCTAATCACATCTGCAAGGTCTTTTCTGCCATGTAGGATAAGCTATTCACAGGTTCCAGGAATTAGGACATGAAGGTTTTAGGGGGCTGTTATTTAGCCTACCATACATAAAATATGTTACTGTTTATCACAAAGCCTTGCACATAGTTAGCACTTAAACCTATCTTAAATATTTGGTCAATGTGAGAAACTTAAAAAGCATAAAGGTAGTTGAAGTATCCTTTACCTCTCTAGTTACTTAAAGAAGTAACTAAGTGGTCTAAAGAGCTCATTTAGAATCTTATTTTGAGCTACAGAGCAAATTCAACCACAATAACAGCAAACACTTCTAGTTTGTTTTCTTAAAATATCTTTGGGCAGAGGATGTACAAAATTACCACTTGAAAACTATTAAATGTTAAAGATCATTGAAAACTTCTGTCAAGTTTGACTTTTTTGTACTGCTGGGAAGGAACTCAGCCTTAGACACACACTCACACACACTCACACACACACTCTCCCACTTAGTAGAGGCTGACAGTCAGAACTAGAAGAGTTGAGGGAGGAAAGTTCACACCTGGGAAGGAACAGCTATTGCATTCTTGCCAGATGGCGCCTTAGCTCTGAGCCTCTGAAGTTGTACCTAGTGAATTCAGCCAGAAGAAAGCCATTTCCTGGTTACACAGCTGGATGCCTGACTTCCCCAGGAGATGTGAGTCTATAGGAGCTTTGGCTGTTTTCCTAGACTTTCTGTGTAGAGGAAACTCTTCTCACTGCAAAATCCCAAATCAAATACCCACACAGAGAAGTTGAACTCAGATGGATAATGCTATTAAATATAGTGAAACTGCCCACTTTTGTCTAAGTAAGTTTTAGGAGAAGGGGATGTGGTTTATTAGTTGCAAGCTGTAGGTATCAAGATCCATATAAGGACAACTCATACTCTTTAAGGGGCGTAAAAGGAGAAAATAGTAAATAGAGAGATATTCTCTTAATCTTTGATGGAGAGACTTAATGTTGTGAGCAGCTCTGTAAGACATAGCTGGCATGAAAATACATTGCTGCCTTTGGTGAGGAGAGGATTAATCAACTATCGTCATCAGAAACCTTAACTGTGTACCTCCTTTTGCCAAAAAATTCTGTCACTGGGTTTGAGAGCCAGAAAGTTCTTGGTCTTATCAGAAAAAGAATTCAGTGCCAGACACATGAGGAGACTCAAGCACGAGCAGGTTTTTTTTTTTTTTTATTCATATGTGCATACAATGTTTGGGTCATTTCTCCCCCCTGCCCCCAGCCCCTCCCTTACCCCCCCGCCCCCTCCCTGTCCCCCCCTTACCCCTTCGCTATCTGGCAAAAACTATTTTTTTTATTTTATTATTCATATGTGCATACAAGGCTTGGGTCATTTCTCCCCCCTGCTCCCACCCCCTCCCTTACCACCCACCCCACCCCCTCCCTCTCCCCCCAACCCCTCAATATCCAGAAGAAACTATTTTGCCCTTATCTCTAATTTTGTTGAAGAGAGAGTATAAGCATAATAGGAAGGACCAAGGGTTTTTGCTAGTTGAGATAAGGATAGCTATACAGGGAGTTGACTCACATTCATTTCCCGTACCGTGTGTGTTACCTTCTAGGTTAATTCTTCTAGATCTAACCTTTTCTCTAGTTCCTGGTCCCCTTCTCCTATTGGCCTCAGTTGCTTTAAAGTATCTGCTTTAGTTTCTCTGCGTTGAGGGCAACAAATGCTATCTAGTTTTTTAGGTGTCTTACCTAACCTCATACCTCCCTTTGTGTGTTCTCGCTTTATCATGTGATCAAAGTCCAATCCCCTTGTTGTGTTTGCCCTTGATCTAATGTCCACATATGAGGGAGAACATACGATTTTTGGTCTTTTGGGCCAGGCTAACCTCACTCACAATGATGTTCTCCAATTCCATCCATTTACCAGCGAATGATAACATTTCGTTCTTCTTCATGGCTGCATAAAATTCCATTGTGTATAGATACCACATTTTCTTAATCCATTCGTCAGTGGTGGGGCATCTTGGCTGTTTCCATAACTTGGCTATTGTGAATAGTGCTGCAATAAACATGGGTGAAGCACGAGCAGGTTTATTAAGCAAAGCAAAAGTGAACTCTCCAGATGAGAGATGGGCGGGCTCAAGAGAGAGCACTGCACTGGGGGAGGGGGTCTCAAACCTCAAGCTCTAACTGGAATTGTTCTCTTAATGTTAGCCATCCAGGAATAACACTAGGTTTGCTAATTCCCTGCCTAAGTCTTGTATTATTTCTATTCTAGGGATTTATCCAGTGGATTAATAAGATATGTGCTCATAAATGTAGTTGCACTATTTACTTCAGTGTTTGGAAAAAACAAAATAGAGTTGATACTTTTATATTATGCTACATTCATGCAATAAAACATTAAAGTTCCTTAAAATAGTGAAATAGCTTATTATGGACAATTTGCATATAAGAGTAGTATGTATTATATACTTTTATTCTTAATATGCATGTGTTTATGTTTGTCTGTGTACAACTACATAGAGAAAAAATCTAGAAGGAAACTGTTACTAGAAATTATGTTTGAGTTGTAGGGTTATAGGAGATTTTTAATTTTCTTTATATTTTCTTTTCTTGTATACTTTTTTTATAATATTTTCTGTATCGTAGATAAATGTCTAAAGACATAGTTATCTCTAAATATTTTGGAAAATTGTCTGCTAATCAGTTTTTCTCATACTTAGGTTTATTAAGACTGTGAACGTTAAAAAGAGAATCAATTGTTGTCTTTTGTCTGCATTACTCTTTCAGGTAACACTTGATGTACTTTTTTTTTATAGTAGCACAACTACAATCATTTTGTAAAAAATGTGCAATAGTTTACCCCATTCATAGAACTCACAGATAGAAAAGTAGGAAGAACCACGATAAAATATCACACACCCATCTTTCCTCTTCTGGCTAAGCCTTGGTGGCACCTTCCCCTGAACATCCACGAGAGTCAGTTTTCTTCTTTAGTAGAAGAAGGAGTTTTACAGAAAAGGAAACTGAGTCTCCTGTCATTAGTAAGATCTTGTTACTAGCCATCAGTGTGAAGCCAGTCTGCTTGACTCCAGATGGTTGCCTGAGGGTTACCACATCTCTAAGCAAAGCTGTGATGGTTATATGATGTGAAGTATATGATCTAATGAAGACTAGAAGTAAGTTGAAGACTACAGAAGAGGAGCATTTGTGTTTCTCAGGATTTTGATTTCATTTCCTTGAAGAAGAAAGCAGCTTTTATCTGAACTATGGGACATTCTGTGATTCAGGGAAGGAGCCAGGGGCCTTTGTCCATCGCTAAAGATGCTGTTTACTTTGACGGATGGACTTATGCCCTTAGTCAGTGTATCAGAGTAGGCAGATACTTCTGAAATCTGGATAGATAAGCTCTTTGGGAAAGGCTTCTACTAATGTAATGCCAGACTTTGCAGTTTTTAAATATGCCACATACCTTTTGCCTGTGCTTCAAAGGCAAGAGGGAAAAAGGCAGAAGAGCCAAGGAAATGATCTGACTGACTTCTTCTATTGCCTTCTTTACTTCTGCAGCAAATTGTCTTCCAACATAATGCTGTTTATATTTTAGAAAATATGTGATTTTTAAAAATGTTCATACCTGTGACCCCAGCTATGTGGGAGGCATATGTAGGAGGATTGAGGTCCAAGACTGCTTCTGGGGAAAAAGCACGAAGACTGTATTTGAAAAATAAGTGAAGCAAAAAAGAAAGGGCTTGGGGTATGTGGCTCAAGAAGTAGAGTACTTGTCTAGCAAGTGGGAGGCCCTAAGTTCAAAGCCCAATATCTCCAGAAAAAAAAGTTTAATTTTTTGTTTAATGTGAGTTTTAAGTATTATTAAATTAGCTGGGCACTGGTGATTCACTCCTGTAATCCTAGCTACTTAGGAGGCAGATATCAGAAGGATCATGGTTCAAAGCCAGCCGGGGCAAATAGTTCATGAGACCCTATCTCAAAACAAACCCCTCACAAAAAAGAGCTGGTGGAGTGGCTCAAGGTGTATGCCCTGAGTTCAAACAGATCTTTTTTGTGTTTAGGACCACACACAAAAAAATTAGCACTGTTAGTAATGCTACACATAAAATAAAAACTAGCTGGTGAGATTTACTTTAAAAGCTTATTGATTTTTAAAAACTATTTTTATTTTTTGAAAAAATAGTTATAGCCCATCTTTTTATTAGCATAAATTAATTGTATAAGGGGTGTTCATTACAGTATTTGTATACATGCATATAATATACTTTGATCAAATTCACCCTGTCTATATTACTCTTCCTTAACCCTCTTCTTCCTCCTCTTTCTTTTAAACCATTTTTAGTGAGTTTCAGTATACTGTTTTACTTCAATTATATTCACCCTGTTACCCTCTTCTTCCCCTCTCACCCTCCAGCTGGTTCCTACCCCAATAGTCCCCTACTTTAAAATGATTTTTAAAACACGTTCGTCAAGTTAAAAATTTTATTGACATTGTATTTTAGAACAGAATACTGTGCAACCTTAGTTTTTTTTTTTTTTGGCAGCACTGGGATTTGAACTCAGGGCCTCACATTTGCTAGGCAGGTGCTCTACCACTTGAGCTTCTCTACCAGCTGTGTAACCTTAATAAGCTACCTGATTGAAATTTTTCCTGATATGTACATTAAAATAATTTTACAATGCATTTGTCATCAACAGATGGTAATTATTTAAGATAACCAAAGAAACACTTCTAAATATAAAATTTGGTTTTATGTATTCATCTTGTTTCCTAGCATCTTATAAAATGTTGGTCATATCAGTTACCTGAGAAATATTAGTTTGCTCTTTCTTCTGCTTGTTTAGATTTTAAGTTGTCGTTTACTCCACCTGTAGCTTGGTATAGCCGAATAACAGATATTTTTAGTTAAATGGCATGAATTTGTATCTTTTTTTTCTGCCACTATTAGCTGTTTGACCTCAGATAAGTTAATTTTTTAAACTTTAATTATATCATTTATAAGATAATAATCCTTCCTTCCAAGGGTGGGTTAGATGATCATTAAGTGAGATGATATTTACTATAAAAATATGTCAGTGGTGCCCGATAAAAATTAACCCTCACTAAATGATGACATAATGGTAACTTCTCACCTGAGTGATACAGTGGTCATACCGTGTCTAAGTACTGTTTACTATGGAGTACAGTATGCCCTGCATGTACTCAGCACTTTAGGAAGTGACCCATGTGCTTACTGTTTCTTGTTTCATTGTTGCAGATGCAATGTATATCTCTTTATTTCACTGGTCTTCATTTTCAGGGTTTGCTTCGAACCACACTTCCACATCCCAAAGCTGAACGTTGCTATGCTCAGTATGAAATCACTCAGCTTCTCCCAGGCATTGAACTCTTCACAGACAGCTTTAGGGCCGACATCTGCTCTGTCATCGCAAGCCTGTATTACATCATCCGAGAGCTGCACTTTGCAAAGCATAATCTAATAGTAAGTGATTTGTAAAATAAGCAACTCTGAATGTACCATGTGTTTTTACCCCACTCACTTTATACTTTTCAATTTTTAAAAAAATTTTTTCTTCTTTTTTTTAATTAGTATACATTAATAGTACAAGGGGGTTTCATTGTGATAATTCCATAGATGCATGAAAGTTTTGCTAATGTTCTTTAAGTCAGCTCTTATTTAACTTTTAAATTCTATATATTTAGAATATATTTCTATATATTTAGAATATATTTAAATTCTATATATTTAAAATTATATTTAGAATATATTTAAATTCTATATATTTAGAATATATTTCTTATCTATATTCCAAAATAATATGTATTAATGGTTTTCTGGCATCGTTTGTATTGTATTTTGGATACAAAAGCAGCGTCTGTTTGATTTTGTTTTCTTTTTTTTACTCTATTATTTTACTGTTCTTTTCCTTAAGAATTTTGATGAAGTTGACTAGAATGTGTCAGTGATAGTAAACATGGAACTGTAGAACACTAGATGAGAACTTACTCAGTTCTCATCAGCACCCAAGCCGGGAGAGCGTCTCCATGTTGAGATGAGCTTTTCTTTGTGTCTTGTCTGTCAAGAGTGCATCTAAAAGACAACAGACTCTGTGGGACAAAAGATATTTCTTAAAGTCCTAGGAAATCCAAGTCCAGCGCAACTCTTTTTCTCCAGGGGAAAGAAATCACAGAACATATCATAAATTTGAAGTTGATTACCTCTTAAAAATAAATTAATAACCTCGAACTACTGGTCACTTTTATATTTTCTTCTTTTATCTTTTATCTTTCTTTAGGTGCTTTCCTCTTATGTGTGTGTGTGTGTGTGTGTGTGTCTTTTTTTCTTTACATTTGGTTCTTGATATCCTTTCTCCTTTTCTGCTCTTTCCTCTTTCTCTATAACTTCATACTCATACTCCTTTCTTTGTCCATAGATTGTTTTCTATTCTTCTGGTATATTTGTTCTTCTAAATTCAGTTTTTTCTCTTTATATTAAAAATATTTATTGCCCTCAATATGAGTTGTTAAATAACAAAACCATGGGTTAAAACGAAGAAGTTGATAAATGCCTTTAACACTAGGCAGATCTGTCAAGAAATTGTTTATTAAAAAAAAAAAATAAAGCGATGCTCCTCTCTCTGTTAAAGAGATTCATTTCTGGCCTGAGAAAATGTTTCTATCCTTTGGGTAACCTTGAGTTGCCTACTCATATTCATATATATATAACACATATCACTGCATTGGAAAAGAAATGAGACTTTTTTCCTTTAAAGTTTAAGAAATTGAGAATCTTTTTCTGAATATTTGAGTAATCGGCATCAATAAAATAGTGTGTTTTTATTTCTCATAAAGAAAAGAAACTAAGTCTCACAGGTAATTGCTAACTCTTAATGTTTTGTGCTGAATTAATTGTAGAGAAAGGTTTTGTGTTATGTTTGTAGCACATAATTGTAGAAAAATAGATTGTATTATGTTCAAAGTCATTTAAAACTAGTTATAATCCTTTTAAAGAGTTGTTCCTGTTAGCAGCTGCCAATTGACCTGCCATTAGAAGCTCCCCAGTTGAACTGCAAGAGGAAAACAGCTTCTAATTTTGTATGACACTGACCTTCCCCAGAAGAAGCCCAGTGGCTAAGGAGACTTTTGTGAAATGGAGAATTTGCTATGGGAAGCAGAGCTGTGAAACCGTGAGAGGCGGTTTGCTAAGTAATTTGGATCTCAGTCCTTCCTGCTCTAACCCCCTTTGGCCTGGCAGGCTGCAGTGGCAGGAATGGAGCTTGAGGTTTGAGTTGAGATCAGGGACCATTCCGTGTTTAGGCAGAATGCCCCTTTCTGTATGGAGAGTAGCCAGGTTAGTTGAAATACTGATTGGCCAGCGGGGAGGGAGGGAAGGTGGCCCAAACATTTACACGTGAGTAAAAAAAAAAAAAAATACAATGCACAATTAAGAAAAAATAATATTGAGTTTAAACAAGGAGAAAATGAATTTTTGAAGGTATAAGACAATATTAAGTTTGCATGTGAGATAACATTGAAAATTGACCATTGAATGTTTAGGGAATAAGAGAAAAAATACCCACACCCATAATTTATACTGTATTGCAACACAATAAGAAAAACCATAAAATAAAGATGATACAACTTTAAAAAAAATACTGATTGTCTGTAAGCCTTCACATATATCCATGAGACTTTAAGAACGATTCTAGGAAAATAAAAAAAAATACTATGTGAAGAGTAAGCTGGGTTTATTTATTTATTTATCCAGTACTGGGGATCGAACCCATGGCCACATACTTGCTAGGCAAGTTCTTTATTACTTGAGCTACACTCTCATCCCTTTTAAAATAAATAAATAAATTTTTTTTTAGTTTTGAAATAAAGTCTCACTACCTTTGCCTGGGCTGACCTCAAACTCGCGATCCCTGTCTGTGCCTCCAGAGTAGATGGGATTACGGTTGTGTACCACCAAGCCCATCATAAGCTCCAATTTGGTGGTGGAATATATACTGCATAAAGACTGGGACTTATGAGGTTTTGTTAGATTTCTCATTCACCAGTGCCTCTCACGTAAAAGTCATATTATAAGTATGTCTTTTGCTAGTGGAAAGACCTAATTAAAGACACCTCCCAGCTGATATTGAAATGAGTATGTAAGATCTAGTTAGGGAACATGAACGTGGGTTCCTTTGCTTTAAATTTTACACTTGATAGCTCACTTGTAGAATTTCCCCCAGGCCTCACACATTTATGTTGACTTTATTTTTTCAATGAAGATAATGAACTGGATTTTAACTTTTCCGTATTTAACAAGTGGGGAAACCTAGGTTCAGTGTGGCAAGCACAATCTACTTGGAACTGTAAATCTGATGGCATCTTAGAGATCTGGTAAAATTGTGAAGTGTTATATGCCAGGCAGGTCCATTTCACTTTTCCCAAATAGTTCAGGCTGCAGTCATGGACACTCAACCAGTACTTTGCATAATACATCCTTCATTTACTATTTGGGTAAATTTTATTAGTAGGTTATTAACTTGATAACATATTTTAAAACAAAGACTATTTTTCTTCCTGACAGGTTCTGCCTCTCCTTGCATTGTACCAATATTTCGTTTCTGGAATTTGCCAAGACCTAGTCAGAAATCTAGAAGCAAGAATCCTCAAGGTATGCCACAACTTTTTAAGATATTTGATATTCTTTAGCTATTAAAGATATTGCTATGCATTAATTTAATACTCACAATAATAAGCTAATAGCAATGTTATTATGTAATAGTAATAGTATTATGTTGATTTAAAGTTAACATACATCTCAGTAAAATAAAGTATATGAAACAGCCAGTTAGGAAGGTTTAGATCATGTTATGCCTAGCCACAGTAGAACGAGGAACAGCTCCTCCTGGCAGCACAGTTCAGGCAGCACCAGGCAGCCTGGAAACCACCAGGCTGAGAGGTTGGCTTCCTAATGGAGACCAGACTTCTGGTTTCCATGAATTCACTCCGATACACTTGTATGTCTATTATGGTATAAGATTTTTTTTCAATGCACAGGCAACTGAATTAACAAGCACAGACCATTAATTCTTTATCCTAGTCATCTGTTAAGGTTCTGTGCCTTAGACATTCATTGGCTTTGAAGCCCATGTGCAGTGGGAGCCTCCAGCATCATTCCCTCTGCCCACTGTCCTAATCACCCATGGCACAAGCCTCCACTTTTGTTGAATTTATTTTGTGCATGGATTGGCTCACCATCCAGCAGATTTCCTCCCCGTTCTGTACCTCCTTAACTCAAATAGGGAATTCAACCCTATTCCAGATTTCCCTCTCTCACATCTACTCACACATAACCACACAGAAGGCATTCACCTAAGGCCTTTGTTTCTATACTGCACTTCACAGAATGTTGGGAAATTTAAGTTGCTGCAAACCAATTTAAAGTAGGATATTTTGCGTTCTTGGCAAACTCGGATCTCTTCCTTTTCTTGAAAAGGCACCAATCTCATCTGGGAGTCCCCAGTCTCGTGGTCTCAATTTATTCAATTACCTCCCAAGGGCCCCGCCTCCGAATACTGTCAATATGTGAATTTGGGGATTAAGTTTTTAACACCTGAACTTTTGGGGAGACACATGCAAGCCATAGCAGCTTGTTAGCACTTGGCAGCCATGTTTGTTTATTTATTCGTTTTTCTAGAGCAGCTTACAAGCCAATGAAGAACTATGGACTCTCTATTCTGGAGACTTGAGTTGAAGGGGAATTAATTACAGAGTTTTGTTCAGGAGAACGATGTGGTTATATCTGGTATCCCTCGCTCCCTCCCTCCCTCCCTTCAAACATGTTGAATAAATGAATGCCTTTGAACAGGAACTTTCCCTCCTATTATTTCCTGATTGATAGTCCCGCTGGAGTATATTAAAAACAACTATATTAAAAACAAGGGAGGGAGTCCCTTCCTTCCTCCCTTCCTTCTCTCCTTCCCTCCCTCCCTCCCTCCCTTCCTTTTTGGTGGTACTGGGAATTGAACTCAGGGCTTTGTGTTAGGCAAGTGTTCTACCATGCGTCTTTTCTGCTTTCAGTTTATTTTTCAGATAGGGTCTCTCATATTTTTGCCTGGACCAGCCTGCGACCTCAGTCCTTCTATCTACCCTCCTGAATAGCTGAGGTAGCAGCCATGTACCAGCCATGCCCAGCTTGTTTTGTTTCTTTTTTTAAGGCCACAGTTTGTCATGGTAACAAAGAAATAAATTCACTTAGTTCTTTAAATTTTCCCATGGCTGTTGTGTTTTATGTGCTTGTCTCTGATGACGTAAGCAACATCTGATAAACGCCCATTGTTCTTAGCAGACTCCTGCTGCTGCTGTTAGCTTCTCGGTCCATTGCACGTGTGAACGGAGCATCCACAAACACACGCATATCCATTCACTCATTAACTTGTTGTATTAATTTATTACACATTGCCATCATTAAGCAGAATTTTGGATCTCAGAAGTTCATTGTTTTTCCTCTAAATTTTTTATTTTGTAAGTGAAACACACTAACTTAAAATCCTTTTTTCTTTTCTTCACAGATTGAAGTCCTTATAGATTTGGGCTTCTTTTCGGAAGCCTTTTATGAGCTAGCCCAGATATTTTATGGAAAAAACATGCCCTGCTCAATTCCAGCTGGCCTTAAAGCTCTTGGGAAAATTAAGGTAACTTGCCAATTTGATTCAAAACCATTTATCTTTATCTTTGAAGGCTATATTCCTAAAATCTAGGGAACATTCCTACAAAAGTGTATTTACAAGTCACCAGCACCGCAGGAGTCATAGTGAAACCTGCTTACAGCTAACATCAGGCTTCATTTGTCTGAAATGGGGATGGTGTGCGGGAGAGGAGAGAGTGTGGCTCTGGAGTAGATTTTTGCAGTGGATTCTGGGTCAGGGATGCTGCATGTCACTTTTTATGATAGTTGTCATGGATGGCCCCTTAGACACTCCAGCCTCCACATCTTAAATTTCTGGGTCTTATCATTTCTGGTTAGTATTCTTCATCAGAATCAGCTCTCCTTTTACCTTTTTTGGATGTTTTTTATTTATATGCTTTACACACCAAAGGGTTAATTTTTGGGTGTAAAGCATATAAATAAGTACCACAAGGTACTGGATTGAACCCAGTACCTTGTGCATACTAGGCAAGCACTCTGTTCCACCTGTGTTCTCCATCACCAGGCTCTTCAGAACATGAACGAAGAACATTCTCCATTTTGCCAAGTCTATTTTGATTTTAGGAGATAGTTCTACTTGACCTGCTTCATTTTCATTTGTAAACGGGATAACTGAAGCATCCTTGAACATGAGTGCTACATGTATAGTGAGAGCATAAATGAAATCAGATCAAGTTGTTGCTTTTCCTCTGCTCTGGTTTTTCATGTGAGCTTGGGAATTCTGAGTACCTTGCTTTAGCAGATGCTTTGGAACCATGGAAGCCAGGAATAAGAAGTGGGGTGAGGGCGGTAGCACGTTACGGCAGTCTGGGCAGACGTTAAATGTGAGGACAGATTGACAGACACAACAACATTCTATGGGATTGTTCAAACTTAGAGGACCTAAAAACAAGTGAATAAGCTGTTATGAAAATCACTTGTATGAGCTGACATATTTACATACTGTGTTCATCACCTCAGCATATTCCCCTAAAGTGTAACTTCTTTTTTTCTCAAGACTTTGATCCTTCTATGTCTATCTCTGCATAGCTGGGATTACAGGGTGTGAGCCACTGCACCTGGGCCTGGAAGGCTTTTCTGAACACAAAAGTTCTGAGGAAAGTGACCTCACTCGACAAAGTTCTGAGGGAGCAACTTTCCAGCAGGAGGAACTGTAAGCGCAAATGCTGTGAGGAAGATGTTAGTGAGGTGTGGTTGGGAAGTCCAAGTAGGCCAAGAGGAGGAGGAGGAGGAGAAGAGTAGGGAGGATCCAAGAGCTGGGTCATGTGAGATCATAGGACTGGGCAAGGACTGAATTTACTCTAAACCAGATGGGAAACCTTGCAGAGGTTTTGAACAGAGATATGACATGATAGGAATTAAGTATAACAGCTGGGGAACAGAGGCAGAGAAAAAGCAGAGAACTGAACCTGAGGGCAGTTCACAGTTACAGTACAGGAAGAGAAGGAAAGAAAGCCAGTTTGGGTAGAATGAGAAACAAGAGTTTTCAATGGCACTTCTTTCACCAAAAAAAACAACAAAACAAGTTCAAAACTATGTTTTTTCCAAACTTCATTTTTATCCACTAACTGTTGTAAGATAAACGTGTTGGGTGAATTATGTCCCAGTGATTCTGACTTTCAAATTTTGTATTCTCGAAGTTAATTTGCAGCTTTCTAGCTTCAATTGGGAATTTAAAAAGCGTGTAATTAAAAAAGGAAATGCTTTCAGAGATTTATTTAAAATAGGTGCCAATGTTATTAGGTTGCAGGCCAGTTATTTAAAGAAGAGATTAATGAATTAAGTTTCACTTGTAGAGGAAGTAGCTGAAAAAGTCTTATAGATTACTATTGGAATTTTCTAGCCCTTTAAGAATTCTATGTTTTAATACACTGAAACAATGAAGGACAAGAATGTAAACCTCTTTGGGAGGGTGTTTCTAATGGAAGAGGGAGGGAGAGTGGAGAGGATGAAGAAGGGCGAATATGGTCTATGTACTTCATATCTGTGTATAAAGATAAACATTGGAACCTGTAGAAATCATTTTAAGTAGGGGGAGGGAAATGAGAAGAATGATGGGATGAACCTAATTAAGGTATGTTGTAAGCATATGTGGAAATGTCACAATGTAACCCCCTGTACAACTAATATATGCTAATAAAAATGTTTATGTTTTGTTGAGATGCCTCTCAACAACCAAATCTACGGTCCCATTATGAACTCTTCAATTTTAAAGATTTCCACTCCCCCTAGGTTCAGTTACTAATTGAAATGTATTACACGCAATAAAGAGTATCTTCAAAAAAGGAATTTTGTAATGGCTACCCACAGTTGCTTCCCATGAAAGTTACACATGGTAGATTGGTTTGGGATCCCTGGAAGCAGATCCCGAGATAAAGATTTAGAAGCAAGTAGTATACTTGGGAGATGATTCTAGAAAGGATGGTGAGTGGGTAGGAATGTTACATGGGAAGGGAGGAAAGCTAATCCAGAGAGCATTAATGAGGTCAGCGCTGTGGGCAGCTAGGGCCCAGCGGGACTGGGTAGAACATTTCTCCTGTTCCTCATTGGTGACATTTGTCTGGTATACTGTTAGCCTCTCTTGAACATTTTTTTCCTGTGGCACTAGGGTCTGAACCCAGGACCTTGTGATTGTTAGGCAGCCACTCTACTACTTGTGACACATCTCTGAACCTTTTCACTTTAGTTATTTTTCAGATAGGATCTTGTGCTTTTGCCTGGGCTGGCTTTGGACTATGATCCTCCTACCTCTGCCTCCTGAATATCTGGTATTATAAGCATGAACCACCATGCCTGGTCCACTCCTGAACATTCTAATGGCCACAGAATGCCCTAAGGCAAAGTGGTACAGTTGCTTGAGGTAGGAGACCATCCACTTTTGACCTACCCATCCGTGGAAGCTGTTGGCGACCTACTGGTGACCAAGGAGATATGGGTGGACATCAGTATTGATTCTATGAATGGACTTCTTTTATTTTTATTTATTTATTTTTTATTATAACTTTTTATTAGGATATATTCATTATACAGGGGGGATTCAAAATGACAGTTCTGATCAGACTTATATTGCACATTATTTACATTGTCCCCATCGTCTTCCCCCTCGGCCCCCTCCCTACCCCACCCAAAGTAATTGCAAGAGGTTTTTTAGTTCTGTTTCATATAGGTATATGAAGTCCATGAATGGATATCTTTTAAAAAGGACTTTCTGTAGCAAAATGGATGCACTCTCCTCTACTATATAACAGTATCCTGTGGCAAATAAGTGTTTCCCCATGAAACATATCAACCTAATTTGCATACAACAAAGGAAACGAACCACAAAACATCATTCTGAATAGTAATACAATATTATCTCAAACTTGTCAAGTTGGTTTTTCTTTGGTGTACTGAGGTTTGAACTTGGGGCCTCATGCTTGCTAGGCAAGTGCTCTCCAACTTGAACCACACCTTCAGTCCTTTTTTGCTATAGTTATTTTTCAGATACAGTCTTCTGCTTTTCCCTGGAGCCAGCCTGGACATGATCCTTCTTCCTATAGCCACCTGCTTCCCTGGGATCACAGACATGCACCACCATGCCTGGCTTATTTGTTAAGATGGAGTCTCAGTGACTTTTCGCCAAGACTGGCTTTGAGTTGTGATCTCACCTCCTTACTAGCCAGGATTACAGGCATAAACTGCTGCACACTGCCCCTGGCAAAGATTTTTTTAAAGTGATGATACTCGTTGCTGCTAAGTTGTAGTCATTCTGGTATTTCATACGATGTATGGGAGAATAAATTGAGCGAACCTTTTCAATACATTCTTGTGTTTTGAATCAGAGGTCCTGCTTCCAGGAGCCTCTAGAAAGGCAATAATCAGAAATACAGACTATATAGCCACCAATGTTATTTAAACTAAGACCAATTGGTGGGAAGTAGCCCTTGTAGACATCTAACAATGGGAAAAAATTAAGTTGTTATGCTACATTCATAGTGTTGTGGGAAGTTGCTAGCTGAGATATGAGACACTGAGGCAGTTTAGCAGGAACAATGTTTTATTGTGTCAGCACAGGCCTAGCGGACTCATGTCCAAAGGCTGAGCCCAAGAACAAAGGGGTCTCACCGTATATACCCTTACAAGCGTTATAGAAAAAAAAGCAAAGTCTAATCCATATATGGTTAAATTATTCTACAGGCTACTTTACCTAGTGTTATGTAACTTTTCCTCCTCCCCAGTTTACGTGACCCTCCTCAAGTTCAGATTTCTCAGGTTTTATCTCTCTGTTATGACATCCCTACCTCCCTGCTACTTTATCAGGACTCAGGCCTAGTCTGCTTTCTTTTGATCCTCCTCCCTGCTACAGTAGGATAGGATACTTCCTACCCACTAAGCTGGGTTTTACACATAACTTAAAGGTATAGGGAGAAAACTTTGTAATAATTGCTGAAAATGGAATACAAATCTGTATGTAAAAATTTTTTAAAACACATCAAAAAGAAATTGGTAGGAAAGGTAAGTTTAGTGGTGCTGGGTCTATAATCCCAGCTACTTGGGGGCAGAGGCAGGAGGGTCACGGGAGGCCAGCCTAGGCAAAGTTATTGAGACTATCTCAGAAACAAAAAATACTAATCAAAGTGCTGAGGGTGCAGCTCAGGAGGAGAGGGCTTGCCTAGCATTCTCAAGGTCCTGGGTTCAGTTCCCAGGAAGAAAAACCAAACTAAACCAAAACAAAATGATCATATAAAGGAAGTTAGTTGACTTAGGTATGATTTTTAGTTTCTTCTTTATACTAATCTTTCTGACTAGAGAATGTATTACCTTTACAATTAAATGGGGCTTAAAGTAATTTCAGAATATGTTAATGGTTTCATTTTAAAGAATGCAGAAGTAAATCTGGTTCTGACTAGATCTGATTTACTAGAAGTAAATCTGGTTCTTTTGTATTTTTCTAGCTGTTTCAATCATTTGACTCAGGAAAACCTCTCAGCAGTAAAGAGAATATTCAGGTAAGGGTAACAATCTTTTATAAACAGTGGATAATTCTTGAGTCATTTTGATCTTCTTGGAGATATAATATTTGGTTTTGAAAGCCTGCTGTGTAATAGACTTTTCGAAATGTCTAACAATGGGGTTTTAATCCCCCAAATCCCAAGGCTTGAGTTAGGAGTGGATCAAACTGATCTGGTTTACAGGTCAGCAAATGGCTTGACCATTTCTGTTTCTCCCTACACTTACAGAGGTGGGTCCTGTTTGCTCATCCAGCCCTGTCAGTTAGCACAGGCTTTAATATTTCTCTTGATTGCCCAGAAGGCCATGGCCAAGTCTGATTTAAGAAAAGGCCTTTGTACATTTTGTAAGAGAAACATGTTCAGTCTGCTGTTCCTCATACTCCCTCTCCCTACTTCCTAGACTGTGTGCCTATGGTCGGGAAGGTTCTAATTTGGCATTTTCATAACTAGCTTTCCTGACTTCTTCAATATTTTTTGCAAAAAGAGAATGAGAATGTAAATATGTTTAGCTCCTGTCACTAATTGAATAATTGGGATTTAAGCATTTGATGTCCTAGTAACATTTGAATATCTTAAAATAATCATTGAAAAATCCTAGGGGCATTGGCAGTCTGCCCCATGGAAAGTGCTGGAACAGAAAAGGTGTAGCTCAACCATGGTTATGGGGCTTATGGACAGGGAAGGAGTCCACCTAGCCCGGTGATAGCTAATGTGGACAGACCAATTGATATAGGTTTACGTAGTTATGTTGGTGGTACTGGGGTTTGAACTCAAGACCTTGTGCTTGCCACTCAGGTGCCTACCACCTGAGCCACACCTTAGCCTCCCCCTTTTGCTTTAGTTTTTTCCAGATAGGGTCTTTCCCTGGGGCAGGCCTCAGACAGCAATCTTCCTGTTGTGCCTCCTGTGTAGTTGGGATCACAGGTGTATACCATAGTGCTTGGCTTATTGACTGAAATGGGGTCTTGCTAACTTTTTTTGCCCGGGCTGGCCTTGAACCACAATCCTCCCAATCTCTGCCTTCTGAGTAGCTGGATTATAGGCATGAGCAACTACTCCTAGCTTACTTAATTTTTTAAATGAAAAGAAGCTCTTTTAAGTAAGGAATTTATTTTTGTTAAGCAACTTGAGAGACATGTCCTCAAAATTTTTATTTTTGCTTTCCATAATTTTGGTAAAGGAATAGATCCACCTTTTATTAAATGTACTTTTATTAGTTTTCTATTGTGAATTTTATTTCACAAAGCTCACTTTTAATTATGCTTCATATGATTCAATGTTTTTTCTTGAAAACTTATTTTAATTCATAAGCAAGTTGCCTAAAATGAAAGAACTGATCTTAGGAAGATATAAATACACATTCACTGGGGATTTAAGAATATTTATTTCTTTCCAGTCATAAATGCCAGGCCATCGTAAATGTTCCTTACGGAGTAGTTTTTAGTGTAAAAAGAATGTCTGTCTGATCATTTCTTTTTTATACAAAAAGAGACTGACAGTGTAATGGAAACCTGATTTCTAAGTTAATTAATTAAAACAGTACTGTTGCCCGATTAAGACTCTTCAAATTACACTTTGTGTGTTCTGCACAGAGGGAGAAAAGGAGTGTTAAATAGCATTACTAATTAATCTTCCTCTGATCCTCAAGTGTTTGTGTGTAATTGTCAAGGCTCATTAAGTCACTGTTGGCTGCAGAGGGAAAGGAGAAATGTCCTGTCTAACCACCCAGCCTGTCTGTGGTTACTTTTCCTGATAGTGAGAACCAGCCAGTTTCCTAGTGCTGCAGCGGGGCAGCAGGTCAGGCCCAGTGATTGCTCCACATCTGGATCTTCCGCACACCTCCATCTCAACCCCTCAGAAGAGGCTGAGAAAAGAGAATAGACAAGAGCACCATCTCAACCCTCCATCACTTCTTCAAACTCTCCCCAGCAAAGGAATTGTTTTGTTTATATGGGATAAATAATTTCTCTTTTTTCTAAACAGATAGCCCCAGCCTCTCATGGAGCTTGTTTTTGAATGGGCAGGACTAGTTATAAACATGACATATAAGTAAATGTTCTAAGACATCAGTAACACAGCATTCAGAAAGGAGAGCCTTGCTATGGGAGAAAATAAACCCAGAGGTGTGTAGAGGGGCTTGGGAACATGGGGCTAGGCAGGGAATTATGATTTTAAATGGGGTTGGGGGGATCAAGTTAATCTTCATATAAAGATTGCAAGTTATATACAATCTGGAGAAAGAATCATCTAGAAAGAGGGAAAGCAAGTCCCAGCCTCTGGTTTTTTATATTAACTCAGAGGCTATGAAGGGGCTGTAGTATGCAAAGTATTGTTCTGGTATGGCAATCAAATACATCAGTCAATCAGCACTGCAGACAAAACTCCAGGTCCTTCATGGAGCTTGTTTTTGAATGGGCAGGACTAGTTATAAACATGACATATAAGTAAATGTTCTAAGACATCAGTAACACAGCATTCAGAAAGGAGAGCCTTGCTATGGGAGAAAATAAACCCAGAGGTGTGTAGAGGGGCTTGGGAACATGGGGCTAGGCAGGGAATTATGATTTTAAATGGGGTTGGGGGGATCAAGTTAATCTTCATATAAAGATTGCAAGTTATATACAATCTGGAGAAAGAATCATCTAGAAAGAGGGAACAGCAAGTTCAAAGGCCCTGAAGCAGAATTACCTAACTTGGTGAGGGATGTCTTGACCAATGTGGCTAGAGTTGTGTGAATGGTTGGAAAACAACAGTAGACAAGGTCAGAGGGGTCAAATTGACAAGTGCCTGTAAGGCCATTATAATTTAGGCTCTTATCTGAACAAAATGGAGAGCCACAGTTGGGTCTACTTATGTTTTAAAGTGATCGCTTTATTTAAACTGTACTGTTCTGGTGCCCATCAATCAAATACATCAGTCAATCACTGTTGTAGACAAATTCCCAGCTCTCAAAGAGCTTAGACATTTTGAATTTGTGATATCTCTTAGACATCCAAGTGGAGGAGCAGAGTCAGAAATTGATTCTATGAGTCTGGGGCTCATAAGAGAGATTGAATCTAGAGTGAAAAACTTGTGATTTTATCAGCCTTTAGAGGAAATTAAAGCGAAGAACCTGATTAACATCATCCAAGGAGGGAGAGAGGAGAAAAAATTGCAGTATTGAGAGGCATAGGAGAAGAGGAGGAACCAGCAAAGACCTCTGAGAGGAATGGCCAGTTGAGTAGGAGGGAAGCCAACGGAGTGTGGTAGCTGGAAGAACAAAAGAAAAAAGCATTTTCAGGAGGAGGGATCAAGAGTGAAAGAATTTGCAGATGAATCAAGTAATAAATTCACTGTGTCTTCAACATGATTTTTTTTCACATTTAACGACTCTGAAATCAGAGTGTGTTTTCCAGTCGATGGTATGTGACAGTTTAATAAATTAGAAGTAGCATAGTGTATAGGGACTCATAGGGACTGAGAATTGGACTTTGGAAGTAGCATAGTATATAGGGACTCATAGGGACTGAGAATTGGACTTTGGACTTACCAAGTTGGTAACATTGACCAAAGGGGTTGGATGTAAGGATGAGTGAGTTTAAAAGCAAAAGAATAGCTGGGGGTATAGCTCATTGGCAGAGCACTTGCCTAGCCAGCCTCTGAGTTCTACCCCCAACATGGCAAAAAAAACAGCAAATGAAGGAAAGGAGAGATTAGATTAGAATATTAACAACTTTTTGTCATCATGGCTATGCACTGACAGGGAAACATCTGTGATATAAGAGAGAATGGCTGAGGTCAGTGGGGACAGGACTGATGGCTAGGAGGCAGTGCCAGCCTTAGGCAGCAGGAAGGTGGAAGTAGGGGACAGGGGGCAGATGCTCAGGTAGGTGGAGCAGTAAGATCTGTGGATGCTGTACTCTGTTCTAGTACTCTAAATGAAGTAAGGGAATAAGGTTGTTAAACTGGGAGAGGAAGAGGGCGGGAAGGATTCGAATGTAGAGGAGAGAAGAAATGAAATGATTGGGAGAAAATGAGAGTGGATAGAATGGTAAAATGTAGGATGATTACTGTGTGGTGCTGATGTTTCGGTCAAGTACTTAAAAATCACTTAAAGTGATTTTTGGTTTTTTGGCCCTCTTCAGCTACAGCCTACAAGAAGACTTAGAGTTACGCTTCAGATTGTGGCAATGCTTTTTCCAAGGAAATGTGCATGCAGGGAGAGTGCTAGGGAGCTGAGGTTCCATATAAGGAGGGGCAGGGTTGACCATGGATCCCAAGCTGGGTAGGGAGCCTGCTTTTCTGTCCATTCTTTTCATGTTCTTGTCCCATGTCTCTGGCTTACTTAAGCTGGAAGAGGGTAACTTGTGTGCATGGCTGATGAGTTTTTGTAGCTTCTCTGTTTTGGAAGGCATCCCTTATTCTCATCATGTAGCAGAGCTGGCCTCATGAGGCACACATCAGAAATTAGTGGAAATGACACAAGCATTGCTGAAGAGCTGGGATGTTTTTTGACATTAAATGTTTCTCTTGAGGCATCTGCCATTTGGGGAACCTCATGTCTATCCCCGTATTCCTTCATCTGGCACCAAATGGAGAATACAAAAGGAGAATGAAGCTCAAATATCTGAAAAAGTTTTTATTAAACTTGCCTTTTTTTTCTTTTTTATTTTTAGGCACTTGATGAATTAATAAGCAAAGGCTTGCCTGTGACTCTGGTTACTCTTGGCCAGCAGCATCTTTTAAATAAATTTTGCTTTGTTAAGGCATACTTTTTTATAAGTGTGGCTGCACAATAATTGTGTTCCAGATAATTCATTGAAAACGTTAGCCCGTGGAGTTGGAGTTGTTACTGAGAAGAGTAAATCAAATGCCCCAAGTAAAGGTAATCGAATTTCTTGTTGTTGCTGCTGTTGTTTGTTTCTCTAGGTTTTTAAAAAATTAACATATAGTAATTATACAAAATAATGGATTTCATAATAATGGATTTCATTATGATATTTTCATACATATATAAATGTGCATTGATCACATTCATACTCCAGTGCTGTTTTTTGTCTCTGGCTCTTTCCCTCTAGTCCTTCCCCCTCCAGAATAAACCCCCTTCTACTTTCATGCCTTTTTAAAAATAATCTGGATTCCACATATGAGAAGAAATATGTGACACGTGTCTCTCTGAATCTGGCTTATTTGTCTTAATGTGAAGATCTCCATTTCCATCCACTGCTCTGCAAATGACATAATTTTGTTCTTTGTGGCTGACTTATACTCCACTGGGTATATATATTACATTTTTCCTTATCCATTCATCTGTCAGTGAGCACCTAGGCTATTCCATAACCTGGCTGTTGTGAATAGTGCTGCGATAAACATGGGTGTGCAGGCGTCTGTATACTGTGCTGGCTTTGATTCCCTTGGGTATATATCAAGGAGTAGGACAGCAATATTGTATGATAGTTCTAGTTTTAGTTCTTTTAAGGACCCTCTGTACTGACTTCCATAGCAGCTAAATTAATTTACACTCCCAGCAACAGTGTATAAGGGATCCATTTCCCCTGCATCCTCTCCAGCATTTGTTGTTTTTGTTTGCTTGATGATAGCTATTCTGACTGCAGTGAGGTGAGATTTTAATGTAGTTTTGATTGGCCTTTTCTTTATGGGTAAGTATACTGAACATTTTGCAAGTATTTATTGGCCATTGTTTCTTCTTTTGAAAACTGTTCAATTCATTGGACCATTATTGATTGGATTATTTCTTCTTTGTTGTTAAATTTTAAAAAATTCTTTTTTTTTCATTTTTCTTTTATTATTCATATGTGCATACAAGGATTGGTTCATTTCTCCCCACTGCCCCCACCCCTCCCTTACCCCCACTCTGCCCCCTCCCTCTCCCCCCCAATACCCAGCAGAAACTATTTTGCCCTTATTTCTAATTTTGTTGTAGAGAGAGTATATAAGCAATAATAGGAAGGAACAAGAGTTTTTGCTGGTTGAGATAAGGATAGCTATACAGGCATTGACTCAACATTGATATCCTGTGCGTGGGTGTTACCTTCTAGGTTAATTCTTTTTAATCTAACCTTTTCTCTAGTACCTGTTCCCCTTTCCTATTGGCCTCAGTTGCTTTAAGGTATCTGCTTTAGTTTCTCTGCGTTAAGGGCAACAAATGCTAGCTAGTTTTTTAGGTGTCTTACCTATCCTCATCCCTCCCTTGTGTGCTCTCACTTAAAAAATTCTTTATATTATGGTTATTAATCCCTTGTCAGATGAATAGCTGGCAAAGATTTTCTCCCATTCTGTAGACTGCCCCTTCACTCTCGTAATTATTTCCTTTGCTGTGCAGATGTTTTTTAATTTGATGTATTCACCTTTGTCAATTCTCGAAATTATTTCCTGAGCTATTGAAGTCCTATTCAGAAAGTCGTTGCCTATACCTGTATCTTTAAGTGTTTTCCCTGTATTTTCCTCCAGTAGTTACATAGCTTTAGGTCTTCTATTAAGGTCTTTGATCTACTTTGAGTTGATTTTGGTATAGGGTGAGAGATAGGGCTCTAGTTTCAGTCTTCTACATGTGGATATCCAGTTTTCCCAGGACCATTTATTGCATGTATGATTTTGGCACCTAAATGGAGATTGCTCTAGCTGTGTGGGTTTATTTATGGGTACTCTACTCCATTCCATTGGGCTATGTGTCTGTTTTTGTGTCAGTATCATGCTGTTTTTGTTACTATGGCTCTGTTATTGTAATTTAAGATCAGTTATTGTGATACCTTCAGCATTGTTCATTTTGCTCAGGACTGTTTTGGCTAATTGGGGTCTTTTGCATTTACATATGTATTTTAGAATTGTTTTTCTGTGTCTGTGAAGAATGTCATTGGAATTTTGATGGGGATTGCATTGAGTCTATAGATCGCTTTTGGTAATATGGCCATTATTACAATATTGATTCTGCCAATCCATGAACATGGGAGGTCTTTCCATCTTCTACTGCGATCTTTAATTTCTTTCACTGGTGTTTTATAGCTTTCATTGCAAAGGTCTTTCACCTCTTAGGATAGGCTTATTCCTGGGTATTTTTTTGAGGTGGAATGTTTGTAACTGGAATTGTTCACCCAATAGCTTTCTCAGCATGTTTATTGGACATGTATGTTGGAATATAGAAAAGCTAGTAATTTTTGTGCTATTTTTGTATCCTGTCATTTTGCTGAAAATGGTTATTATGTTTAAGAGTTTTCTGGTAAAATGTGGTATTTATACACAATGGAATTTACTTAGCTGCAAAGAAGGATCATATTTCGTCATTTGTAGGTAAGTGGGTGGAACTGGAGAACATCATCTTAAGTGAAGTTAGCCAGGCTCAGAAGGCCAAAAGCTGCTTGTTCTCTCTCATATGCAGATTATAGACCAAAAACAAATGCAACAATATTATGAGACATGGGTCACACTAAGGGGAGGCTGTACATGGGAGGGATAGGACAAGGGAAAGAAACAAAAAACTTGAATGTGGTTGATGTGCTCACTGTACAGTAATGAATATAGAAATTTTATACTAGCCAGGGCCTCCATGGGAAATGGTCTAGGGAGGAGTGAAGAGGACTGGTAGAGATGAACCAGTTGGGGTTGTAATATGCATGGAAACAACACAAAGAAACTCCCTGTGTAGCTATCTTTATCTCAAACTAGCAAAAAAGTCACATTTCTCTTTTTATCTTTTATGTTCTTTCTTCTACAAAATTGGAGAACAGGAGGGTGGATCAGGTTCTGCCTGGGTTGGAGGGGGGTTGGCACCGGTAGGAGGAAGGAGGTGACCAGAAAGGGATAGGATGCAAATAATGTATATACCTGTATGTAAATGCAAAAATGATACCTGTTGAAACTGTTCCAGGAATCAGGGGACAGGTGATGAAAGAGAGCAGTGGAGGAGGTGAATTTAAGTATGATATATTTGATATATTGTAAGAACCTTTGTAAATGCTACAATGTACCCCTACCCAGTACAACAATAAAAACAAATGAGTTTTCTGGTAGAGTCTTAGGGTCTTTTTAAGTGTAGGATCATATTATCTGCAAATAGGAATAATTCCATTTTTTCCTTTCCTATTTATATCTTTTTAAATTTCTTTTTCTTGCCTGATTTCTCTGGCTAACAATTTACTATATTGAATAAGAGTAGAGAGAGTGGATACCCTTGTCTAGTTTCTAATTTTAGAGGAAATGCTTTTAGTTTTCTCTCATTTAATGCAATGTTTGCTCTAGGTTTATAATATATATACTTTATTATGTTGGGGTATGTTCTTTCTGTTCCTGGTTCCTTCAGGAGTCTTTTCATGAAGGATGGTTGAATTTTCTCAAAGTTCTTTTCTGCATCTATTAAAATGAGCATATGCTTTTTTGCTACTGGTTCTATTTATGTACTGTATTATAATTTTTGATTTGTGTATATCAAACCATCACTGGTATCATACATGCAATGAAACCAACTCAATCATTGTGTATTATCATTTTAATGTGTTTTTAAATTTATTTTTGCAAGTATTTTGTTGAGAATTTTTGCATGTGTGTTCATGAAGAAAATTGGTCTATAGCTTTCTTTCTTGATTATAATTTTTTTAGAATATATTCATTATACAGGGGGACTCATAGTGACAGTTCCAATTAGGCTTATATTATGCATTGGTTAGATCACCCTATCCCCCTCCCCCGCTTCTCACCCCACTTAAAGCAATTGCAAGAGGTTTTTTTGTTCTATTTCATTATATGTATGTGAAGTCCATCCACCATATACACTCACCTTAATCTCTCATTCACCCTCTCCCCTCCCACTAGTACCTCCCCAGACACACAGTGTACCTATTTTACAGTCCTGTTTTTCATTGTTAATATTTAAGTTGATGTTCATAGGGGTTTCTCTCTGTATCTCCACTGTGGAAATGCTTTATTTTGGTTTGTTCAACCCCTTCTATTACTCTTCCATACCTTTTTACTTCCCAGCCTCCCTTTTTCAACCATGTTTTAATACACATCCTCATATTCTCTACTTTCACAGATGTTATGTTTTACGAAATTACTATCATTCTCTTTTCCTTCCCTCTTTCTCCGAGTTCCATAAAATAGTTCCAGTATTACAAACATGTTCTACATATGAGTTTGTATATGATCGTGCTTGTTTTTGTGACATGTTTATCTTTTGAATCTGTCTTCTACATGTGACAGAAAAGTAGCTTTTGTCTTTCTGAGCCTGGCTTACTTCACTTAACATGATGTCCTCCAATTGGATCCATTTACCTTCAAACCCCATGTCATTAGTCCTTATGGCTCAGAAATACTCCATTGTGTATATATACCACAATTTCTTGATCCACTCCTCAGTCATAGGGCATCTGTTTTTTCCAAAGCTTGGTTTATGAATAGTGCTGTGACGAACATCAGTGTACAGTGTCTCTATGTATCCTGACTTATGTTCCTTTGGGTAGATGCCCAGGAGTGGTGTCACGGGATCATATGGCAGTTTTGTGTTTACTTTTTGAGGTATCTCCATACTGCTTTCCATAGTGGTTGTACTAATTTCATTCCCACCAACAGTGTATAAGGGTTCTTGTTTTGCTGCATCCAGCCAGCATTTGTATAGTTTTCTTTTTATTGTTGCATTCTCTTGATATCATGAGTTTTGGTATATCCTTTTGTAGAATGAGTTTGGTATATTCTTTCCCTTTCTATTTTGTGGAATAGTTTGAGAACATTGGTTAGGTTTTTTTCTGGTAGGCTTCATCAGTGAATTCATCTGATCCTGGCTTTTCTTTGTTGGAAGACTCTTTATTACTTCTTCAGTCTCATTACTTGTTATTTTTTTGGTGTAATTGGGGTTTGAACTCAGCACCTTGCACTTGCAAAGCAGATGCTCTAGCACTCGAGCCACACCTCCAGTTCACAATTTATTTTTTAAATGATTACTTTACATAATTTTATGACTTTGAAAACAGCTACCTAAAAAAACCAGAGCAAATATATGCTTATAACTTTTGTTGTATTAATACTCTATCATTTCTGGTCCTCTTCATTTATTCCTGTGGATTTATGTCATCATCTGGAACTATTTCCTTAGCCCAGTACAGCTGTCACCTACTTTATTTGTGCTATTTTGGTAAATACATTTATCTTTGCTACATATTGAATAATGCATTATATATATATATATATATGATTTTATATAGTTACCTTTTAGTTCAGTACAAACAAGACAGGAGAAGCAATACATATTCAAGACATATACGTTAAAACAACATAATTACCTTTATTACCTACTAGGGTCACTTCTTATTAGCCTGAAAAACTCCCTTTCACATTTATTCTCAGGTAGATCTGATAGCAGCCACATTCTCTCAGTTCTTTTTGATTTGAGGAATTTCCTTATTTTGCCTTTATTTTTGAAAGCATTTTGCTGAACCTAGGATTCTTGTTGGCAGTTTTTTTTTAGAGGGCACTGTGTACATGTTGTCCCTCTGCCTTCTGGTTCCACTGTTTCTAATGAGAAGCCAGCAATTAGTTTTATTGGGTTTGCTCAAGAGTGAAAGTATTTTTTTTTCTTTCACCGCTTTCAAAATTTTCTCATTTTGATTTTTAACATGTTTACTATGATGATCTGTTTGTGGCTCTCTTATTGTTTATCCTACTTGAGTTCATTGAGCTTCCTGGATGCATAATGTATTTCCAATAAATTCAAGAAATTTCTAGCTACTATTTCTGTAAATATTTTGCCCCTCCTTTCCTTCTATTCCCTCCTCTAGTACTCCCATTTTATATAATTAGTGTGCTTAATGGTGTCTCACATTTCACTGACAGTGTTCAGTTTTCTTCACTTTTTTCTATGATTTATCAAATTTGCTAGTTTTTCTTCCCTTCTAGCAGCCCAAATTAACTATTGAACCCCTGTATTAAGTTTTCCATTTGTACTTTTCAATTCTATAATTTCTAATTAGCTCTTTTGAAATTTTTGTCTTTATTAATGTTTCTATTTGATTTACATCATAATGTCTTCTTTTACTTTTTATTATTAGCATATAATAATTACAGAGTGCAGTGGGTTTCATTGTGACCATTTCATATATAAGTATGAAATAATTTGATCATGTGTGTCCTCCATTACCTTCTGTCCTCCCTCCCCCTCCCCTGATCTCCTGCCTCTTCTCCAGTAGTCCCCTTTCTGCTTTTCATCTTATACCCTCTTTCCCCCCCGTATTTCACATAATAAAGGATACATGATATCTGTCTTTCTGAGTCTGGCTTATTTTGTTTAACATGATGATCTTTACTTACATACATTTTCATGAAGATGACATTAATTTTCTTCTTTATGACTTAATATTACCTCATTGAATATGTGAGTGTATATATATTTATGTGTGTATACACACATATATATACGTGCATATATACATAAAAATATATGCATATACATGCACATGTATATATATAAATATATACATATACTTTTCTCTTTTTTTTGGTGATATTGCCCCACACTTCCTAGACAGGCTCTCTACTACTTGAGCCACTCAGCCAGCCATGTTTGTGTTGGGTATTTTCTTTCTTTTGGTACTGGGGCTTGAACTCAGGGCCTATGCCTTGAGCCATTCCTCCAGCCCTTTTTTACGATGGATATTTTCGAGATAGGGTCTCGTGAACTATTTGGCTGGGCTGGCTTTGAACCATGATCCTCCTGATCTCTGCCTCCTGAGTGGCTAGGATTACAGGCATGAGCCACTGGTGCCTGGCATATATATATTAAATATATATTATATATATATATATATATATATTATATATAAGATATATATATATATATATATATAAAGATATATATAATATATAATATATATATAAGATATATATATATATATATAATTTTTTTTCTTTATCCATTCATCCACTAATGGGCACTTAGGCTGATTCCATGACTTGGCTATTATGAATCATGCCATAATGAACATAGGTATGTACATATCTCCAACATGCTGAGAAGTGTATACCCAGGACTAGTACAGCAGGAGCATATAGTAGTTCTACTTTTGGTTTTTTGAGGAACTTCTATACTTATTTCTTTAGTGATGGACTAATTTGCATTCCAACCAGCAGTGTACAGTGTATAAGGTTCCTTTTCCCTGGCATTCTACTCAACATTTATTATTTTTTTGTTTACTTGATGATAGCTATTCCGACAGGGGTGAGATGGTATCTCTGTACAGTTTTGTTGGGGTGAGGAAGGAGGTACTGGGGACTGAGCTCAAGCTCATGCTGGCAAGTACTTGAGCCATGCCTCCAGAATTTCACTGTGGAGTGGATTCGTAGAGCACCTCATATTCCCATGCTAGAATTTGATCTCCCTAAATAACACAGTTTTGAGAAAAATCTTTAGTCCTTCTTCCTATTCATCCAACCCTCAAATCTAGAGCTTCCTAATTTAGAGACTAAGCAAGGAGTTTGGGATTGGAAGAGAAGAAGTCAGTGTGCTAAGTTCCCTGTTATCTAGAATCTTTCTTTTCATTTGACAAATCTGGTCTCTTTTGGTGGCTATGTTTTACAGTGATTTCTATTCAGATGATTCGTGGTTATTGGTTTTCTCCCATAGTCTAGAAGCCACATTGACTGAAATAGGTAAAGACCATGATCTAAATTCTTTTGCTTCTCACTGGTTCAGAATAAGGGTGAGTTTCAGATTCTGAGTGGAGATTTTTGAGAGGGCTACTTGAGTATTGCAGATTATGCTATTTTAAGTGTTCTCTTTCTCTGCTCTAGAGTGAGGGGCTTGTGCATATAAATAGCACTGATGCTTCGAAGGATGTCTTATCGAAATGTTAGAAATATCTGAATACTTTGAGGGCTTTATGTGATCCTGGGGCCCCAGAAGAGGAACTGTTACTTTGTAGCAGTAGTTAATAACTTGAATAACATCAGCAAGCATGCAAAAACATCCTTTCAGATTTATCTCATTTGTTGTAAGAATCAAACTCAGCCTTCTAATATATATTTAGGAACTATTTGATATAAAATATGTGGTGATTTTTTAAATGAAATTCACCAATAGTTTCCAATGAATGATGGATTTTAGAAACTACAATTAATATTGAAACTAACCGTAGGTACCCTTGATCTTTTCGAAATTTTATATCTCTGTAGAGACATATCCAAAGGATAATGGAACCTCACCTTATCAGCTTATGAAACTTAAAGATGACCTAACTCTTGGCATGCTAAAGGTAAGTCTGAAAGTTTTTTTGAACCACAGAAAATTATCACAACGCCCACATGATTAGATCTTGGAGAGGCCCACTTTCAAGGTGGTGCTTGTTCTTGGAAGACCAGCAGCTTTTCTTGTATAAATTTTGTGTTGGGACCAGAGTTAGAGGAGACTTCCAATGAGCAAGGTGGATATGAGAAAGGTTTGCCTTTACAACCTGGTTAAGGTGCTGCTGCAGATATGGTTTGTTTGATGGGATTCAGGTATTCCATGCCCTGTTTCTCATTTCCTAATAATGGTGATGACAACAGCAACAGTAGCAACTACCATTTATTCAGTTCTTACTTGACAGGCATTTTGCATGGTTATTTAATTTTCACAGCTCTGTGATGTAGGTATTAATCATTTTTTGATTTACGTTGTGCTGAATCATGAGAAAATTGAGGCTTAAACAGTACATGAAATTCACTAATGTCATGCAAGTAATAAAGTACAATTCTGGGAATAGGACCTCTGTCTTTTGATTAAGAAATCAATGTTCTTAAGCATTACACTAAATTGGCCTAGTATTTATATGATATTCACTGCTCTATACAAACAAGTTTTTGGAGACCCATTACTTGAAAGATTGGTTGATCTCTGTCTTCTGCCAAGCCAGATTGCTATTTGCTATTGATTGTCTATTATGAAACCTCATTATCTTCACATTACCAATGAGGTAACCATAGTTTAACTTGAAATACAACCCTTCCTCATTATTCATAGGTTCTGTTTGCTAATTTGCCTGTCTGCTAAAAATTACTTGTAACCTCAAAATCAATAGTTGTAGCACGTTTTTGGTCATTCATGAACAAGCCCAGAGCATAGAAAAATTTGAGCATAGGAAAACGTGTCTACATTACCAGTCAAGGTTTCAACTCTCATACTGTCAACATGTGTTCTTTTCTATATTTTTCCTGACTATTGTGTGTAGGTTAAGCATCCCTTATCTGGAATGCTTAGAAACAGAAGAGTTTCAGATTTTGGAGTGTTAGGGACTTTATAATATTTGCTATACTTTACCAGTTAAACATCCTAATCAGAAAATCCAAAATCTGAAATGCTCCAATATCTGAAACTCTTTTTTTTTTCTGTATTAGGGATTGAATCCAGCCTCACACCTGCTAAGCAAACACTCTACTGTTTGAACCATGTTCCCAGCCCTTTTGTTTATATTTTGGTTTTTTTTTTTTTTTTTCATTTTTCTTTTATTATTCATATGTGCATACAAGGCTTGGTTTATTTCTCCCCCCTGCCCCCACCCCCTCCCTTACCACCCACTCCACCCCCTCCCGCTCCCCCCCTCAATACCCAGCAGAAACTATTTTGCCCTTATCTCTAATTTTGTTGTAGAGAGAGTATAAGCAATAATAGGAAGGAACAAGGGGTTTTGCTGGTTGAGATAAGGATAGCTATACAGGGCATTGACTCACATTGATTTCCTGTGCGTGGTGTTACCTTCTAGGTTAATTCTTTTTGATCTAACCTTTTCTCTAGTTCCTGGTCCCCTTTTCCTATTGGCCTCAGTTGCTTTAAGGTATCTGCTTTAGTTTCTCTGCGTTAAGGGCAACAAATGCTAGCTAGTTTTTTAGGTGTCTTACCTATCCTCACCCCTCCCTTGTGTGCTCTCGCTTTTATCATGTGCTCATAGTCCAATCCCCTTGTTGTGTTTGCCCTTGATCTAATGTCCACATATGAGGGAGAACATACGATTTTTGGTCTTTTGGCCAGGCTAACCTCACTCAGAATGATGTTCTCCAATTCCATCCATTTACCAGCGAATGATAACATTTCGTTCTTCTTCATGGCTGCATAAAATTCCATTGTGTATAGATACCACATTTTCTTAATCCATTCGTCAGTGCTGGGCATCTTGGCTGTTTCCATAACTTGGCTATTGTGAATAGTGCCGCAATAAACATGGATGTGCAGGTGCCTCTGGAGTAACAGTCTTTTGGGTATATCCCCAAGAGTGGTATTGCTGGATCAAATGGTAGATCGATGTCCAGCTTTTTAAGTAGCCTCCAAATTTTTTTCCAGAGTGGTTGTACTAGTCTACATTCCCACCAACAGTGTAAGAGGGTTCCTTTTTCCCCGCATCCTCGCCAACACCTGTTGTTGGTGGTGTTGCTGATGATGGCTATTCTAACAGGGGTGAGGTGGAATCTTAGGTGGTTTTAATTTGCATTTCCTTTATTGCTAGAGATGGTGAGCATTTTTTCATGTGTTTTCTGGCCATTTGAATTTCTTCTTTTGAGAAAGTTCTGTTTAGTTCACTGCCCATTTCTTTATTGGTTCATTAGTTTTGGGAGAATTTAGTTTTTTAAGTTCCCTGTATATTCTGGTTATCAGTCCTTTGTCTGATGTATATTGGCAAATATTTTCTCCCACTCTGTGGGTGTTCTCTTCAGTTTAGAGACCATTTCTTTTGATGAACAGAAGCTTTTTAGTTTTATGAGGTCCCATTTATCTATGCTATCTCTTAGTTGCTGTGCTGCTGGGGTTTCATTGAGAAAGTTCTTACCTATACCTACTAACTCCAGAGTATTTCCTACTCTTTCTTGTATCAACTTAAGAGTTTGGGGTCTGATATTAAGATCCTTGATCCATTTTGAGTTAATCTTGGTATAGGGTGATATACATGGATCTAGTTTCAGTTTTTTGCAGACTGCTAACCAGTTTTCCCAGCAGTTTTTGTTGAAGAGGCTGCTATTTCTCCATCGTATATTTTTAGCTCCTTTGTCAAAGATAAGTTGCTTATAGTTGTGTGGCTTCATATCTGGATCCTCTATTCTGTTCCACTGGTCTTCATGTCTGTTTTTGTGCCAGTACCATGCTGTTTTTATTATTATTGCTTTGTAATATAGTTTGAAGTCAGGTATTGTGATACCTCCTGCATTGTTCTTTTGACTGAGTATTGCCTTGGCTATTCGTGGCCTCTTGTGTTTCCATATAAATTTAACAGTAGATTTTTCAATCTCTTTGATGAATGTCATTGGAATTTTGATGGGAATTGCATTAAACATGTAGATTACTTTTGGGAGTATAGACATTTTTACTATGCTGATTCTACCAATCCATGAGCATGGGAGATCTCTCCACTTTCTATAGTCTTCCTCAATCTCTTTCTTCAGATACATTTTGTTTTTTGCTAGGCAAGAGCTCTATCACTTGAGCCATGTCTCCAGCTCTACATTTTGTTTTTTGAGTCAGGATCTCACTAACTTTGCCTATGCTGGCCTCAAATGGTGATAATCCTGTCTCTGCCTCCTGAATAGCTGGAATTACAGGCATGTTTCACCACACCTGGCTCCAATATCTGAAAAAATTTGAGTGTTGTGCAGGTGCTCAAAAAGTTTTTATTTTAGAGCTTTTTGGATTTCAGATTTTTGCATTAGTGACGCTCAGCCAGCACAATGACTTTGTGCTTTTTTTGTTTGTGATTTCACTATTTATAAGGTCCCTATGTTGAAGTGCTGTTTAGGGTTTCTAAGAGAAAGAAAGCTGTGTCATGCCTTATAGTGAAAAATACCCGTGTTAAATAAGCTTCATTCAGATCTGAGTTTTAGTGCCATTAGCTGTGAGTTCGTGGTTAACTAATCAACAGTACACATTAAATAATGTGTCCTTAAATATAAACACACATTAAACAAGGTAAGTACTGATCAGTTGATGAAAATGTGATCAGAAGGATCACATTTTCACACAGGAACCTTTTCCGTGTTTTCCCTAGGAGCAGTGGTTTAGTATTCACTCATCAGTGTTTATGGTAACTTTATTAACTACTGTGACTAATGATCATTGTCCATCCATACAATAAAGGACAACTGAGGTCCCTGCTATGCTGTCCATTACTTTCTCATCTTCTGTTGCCTTTTTTCTTTTCTGAGCTCTCTTCTTTGATGATTAGGTACAGATTTCCTTTTTGGTCTTCCATTCACTGTTGCTTCTAGTACATGAAAAATATTGCTAGAAGGAGACATTATTTCTAAATTGACATGATTGTAAAGCGTTCTTTCCGCAGTCAGTTTTACTGATGGAAGCTGAAGACAAGCTAAACTTCCTCATGTCAGAGATGGAGCATCCAGACCACAAGAACCTGTCGCAGTGTTCTGCTGGCGAATTGGAGATTGTGGTAGAGCCAGGCTTCAGCTGGCAGCAATTGCCCTGCAGAGACACCGGTCGGCATACAGGTGCGTCTCCTCCTGAGCAGAACAGGTACACATTTTAGAAATTCTCAGATCTATGGGGCATATTTGTTTCTTATTATTCAGGGAGTTATTGCACCAAAAACAAGTTCTCAACAAAGCACCGAACTAGGATTTGTAATGTCATACATAGAATGAACAAATTAACAATTCTTTGGTTTTTAATTTTTTTTTTTAAAAGACTGAACCTAAATTCCTCATTGCTTTTTACAAATAAAGCCTTTGGAGTATTCTTTTCTTACTCACCAAAGCCACTGCGCGCCAGTGGCTCACACCTGTAATCCTAGCTATTCAGTAGGCAGAGATCAGGTGGATTTATTTGAAGCCAGATGGAGCAATAGTTCCATGAGACCCTATCTCGAAAAACCCTTCACAAAAAACAGGGCTGTTAGAGTGGCTCAAGGTGAAGGCCCTGAGTTCAAGTCCCAGTACAGCAAAATAAATAAAATAAATTAAAAAATTGAAATATGGCAAAGAAACTATTTTTTAAAAAGTAACATCATCTGAACATGTTGTGCTGAACTAGTTAAGAAGCTCTTTCAGGTGGCTGATTATTCAAATGGGCTGCAGTTGTTCATGTTAGCTATTTCATTTAACTGGCTCATTGATTCTTTCATTTACTCATTAACTATCTCACTGCCAGGGAGGATATAAAGATAAGTAGAAACTATAATTTCTCCATCCATGTACTCACAAACATATGAACAACCAAGTAGTAAAAAATTTATACTGTTACAGTGATTTTTTCCTTATTAATAATATAGAAATATAGCTTCAAGAATTTCTCATATCATTTCTGAGAAACACTTCCATTGTGAGGGCCTCGAATAGATTCAATAGCAATTTGTTTAGTAGTGCATGTTTCATATACTCATTGACTCACTAAAATAATGTCAAGCACTTACAACGCTAGGCATTGTTCTAAGCTCTTGGGATGTAACAGTGTCACAATGCTCACATGTACAATATAGACAAAATACATAATAATATTGCCAAAAGTTGTGAAGTTATGGATGCGTGATGTTTATTTTCTAATGGATAATAAGTAGGCCGATAATAAGTTTTAAGCATGATAAGTCAGTCAATTATATAGTATGGCCCAAAATGGTAAGTGCTACGGAGACTATTGGAGAAGGGTTGGGGGAGGACAAGTTTCCATCTTAAAGTTGTGTGGTTGTCACAGAGAGTATGATTCTGTGTTCAGTGGCTGATAACTTTCAGGTCCCACCACTCTCTTCTTCTTCTACCTCCTGTTTGGGCAAACACATAGGAAAGTCCAGTCCAGTCACTGTTTGGTGCTGTGAGAAATTCAAGCCATTCGAATCCAGGTCATGTGTGGGAACCCTCGCTCCAATGCCACCCTGCAGTAGTGACCAAGAAACCCTAAGCGAGACTCCTTTCCTTGTCCTCTGAAATCAGTTCCAATCCTTCTGCGAGCCTCATGATTTATGTGGTATACTTGTGTCTGATTGAGACACATCTAAATCTGATTTTACACTAAAGACAGTATGAATTTTGAGGATTTGTAATTTTTGTGGTTTCTAAGCAGTAATGAAAATCTACAAACTCTGTTTGCATAGTAGTAACAGTGTACTGTGTCTACATCACTGGGAGTGTCTCTGAGACCTTTTCTGGTAGGGGGTTCCTGCAGACTCCAGTTACTTGTGAGTAACTGAGGTACTACTTGCCCTTCAGTGTATTATTTGCACTGATGCTACAGAAGCAACAATGGTGAAACTTCTGTTACCCCACCAGGAATAAAGCAGTGGCAGAAATGATGTCATTGCATTCTTTAATCCTGCACACTTGCAATTTAAAACAGTCAGTTGCATTTAAGAATGTTCTTGATGAAGTGATAGAAACTGTTACATTTACAAATCCCTGGCCTTGAATATGTACATTTTCCGTGTTTACTGGGGATCTTAGGTGGGAATTTTGCCTAAGCATTTCTGCTGCATATCAAAGCAGCTGCTTGTCTTGGGCAAGAACACATGGGTGATTGCACTGAGAGGAGAATAAGATGCTCTTTTCATGGATCACCATCTTTATTTGAAAAAATAAGTGACAGACTGGTTTTTCAGCCTTGGGTATTTGGCAGACATTTTCTTGAAAATGAGCAAAATGAGCATGCCATTTCTAGGAACAGAACTGTTCATATTTGTTACCAGTCATAAAATTTGAACTCTCATAGGAAAATTAGAATTTTGGGTAATTTTTATTTACCACCAAGAACTTGACAGTTTGCTCAGAATTTTTTTCTGATCACAATAGTGATAATAATAACAAAAATATGTTTAAAATTGTGTGATGAAGTATTTCAACCTGTGGGGTGTCTGTACAACTCAGGAGCTAGCGTTTTCCAAATGACCAGTGCTCAGTGTTTCAAAATTTGTTAACAAGATAGAGCAGTAAATTTTATATATTGCAATATAGGAAAAGTTCATCAGTGTGTGGGATTAAATTCTAACATGGCAGAAAATTTAAGAAACTATCACTTATTTTACTTATTTCAGTGTGGTATCAAAGAAAAATATTCAGCTGTTTGAAGAGGCCATTAAAATTCATCTCCCATTTCAGCAACTATTTGTGTGAGACCTGATCATCCTGTAGTCCAATCAAAATAATAACTCACAACATACTGAATGTATAAGCAGGTATAAAAGTATACTGTCTCTTACTGATCCACCAGACATTACACAGAACAATGGATTCTTCTTCTCACTAATTTTGGAAAAATAATTGTCTTGCATAAAATGTGTTATATTAATACATAAGGGGCTTATTATTATTATGTTTGGCAGTATTGGGGTTTGAGTTCAGGGTTTTGTACTTGCTAAGCATGTGTCTTTTCATGCCTACCTCCAGCTCTTTTTGCTCTGGTTATTTTGGAGATAGGGTCTTGCTTTTTACCCACACTGGCTTAGGTTGCTATCCTCCTATATTACACCTTCTGCTGTAGCTGGGATGACAGGTGCAAGCCACTATGCCCACTTTTTCCCCCTTGAGATGGGGTCTCACAAACTTTTTGTCCTGAGTTGGCCTGGAACTGTGATCCTCCCAATCTCAGCTTCCTGTGTAGCTGGGATGACAGATGCACACCACTGTGTCCAGCTGTTTGGGGTCTCATGAACTCCCTGCCCTGACCGGCCTCAAACTGCAATCCTCTTGATCTCTTCTTTCCAAGTAGCAAGGATTGTAGGCATAAGCTCCCTTGCCTGGTTTTCTATCTTAAAAAGAATTGAATATTAAAGAAGTTAAAAAATGGTCAGTTCAATTTCTGATATGGCAAATGTTGATGGCATTCTATTGGATTCCCAATAATTTTAGTGGTGGAAATGAGTGCCAAAATAAAGCCAAAGGCCTGCCCATTTACAGTATTGTGGAATTTATAGTTACCATTAAGAATACAATGGTAACTTACTGATGGTAAAATAGGCTTAGACTATAATACTAGTGAAAGACTTCTAATAATATACTATTTTTCCTACTGAAGTTTGAAAGAAGAAACTTTTAATATATAATAATATATGATTTCCTATTGAACTCTTTTTCTGCAAACTAAATCCCAGAAAGTAATAGCAGCCCTAGAATGACTCTCTCTCTCTCTCTCTCTCTCTCTCTCTCTCTCTCTATATATATATATATATATATATATATATATATGTCATTAACCTTCATTCTTTCACTTATGACCTTATGGTATAGAAGATACGATTGGTTTTTTTAGAGAGTAAGAGAAACTTACTCTTAGTTTCTCTTTTAAAGAGAATCTAAAAATTTGCCCCACAGAAAAGATTGTCATAATAGAACTTTAATTTGAAGTTCACGTAGATATGTGAAAATGTGCAAATATATCAGATTTACTACTATTTTAAATACATGAATCTGGCCCTTGGGACAGAACCTGCAAAACCTTTGATGTTTTTGCCTTTCTGGAGCAGAGTTGTCATTTGGGGGAAGCCTACTGTCAAGATGAATGAGTTTTCCTTCCGTGAACTTTACCCCCACAAGCTTCTGTTTGGGCACTGCTGAGAGTGTTGGACAGTCCCTTTTCCAAATGATGGTTAGCTTGACATTTCTTGATACTTCTAATAAAATTATGTGTCAAGGAAATTGAAAGGCACATTCCCTGGGGTGACAGGTAGAGTGAGCTGCATGGATTTTATGAGAACAAACTGACCATTTTTGTCATGAATGTTAATAAGAAATAAGTGGGATCCAAATTATTCATACTGTATTTCTACTTCTTCTGGCTGTCTCTTTCAGTATCCCATCTTTTTATTTTTACATAAATGTTTCTCCCTCTTTTCCTTTGTAGTTAATTTATTGTCTAAGTGGGAAAGAACTCTGAGCCTTTTTAATTTTGTATCAGAATGAAGCTTCCTTTGGGATTTTAGACTGTTCGGTAGTGGGTAGTCCTTTCTATGCTTTCTGTCTAGTGTAGTGGAGAACTAGAAATTTTCCACTGCATAATCTCTATGGCTGGAAAGTTTGCTCTTCAGAATTCATGCATTGGAAACTTTATTCCTTTATTAGTATTTGGAGGTGGAGCTCTGGAAGGGGATTAGGGTGGATGAGATCATGAGGGTGGGACTCTAACCTGTGGCATTAGTGTCATCATAAGAAAAGAGGTCTGAGCAAGCCTGCTCTGTTTTGCCATGATGCTCTTCTCCATGTTACAGTGCAGGCCCTTCAGATGGTGGTGCTTTCTCTTGGACTTCCAACCTCTAGACCTATGAACTAAGTGTACCCCTATTCTTTGTAAGTTTCACTCACTGAGGTATTTTTTTTTATTGCAAAAGAAAATAGACTAACATAGCAACTAGGCAGTACCAGGTGAATTACAGCATACTGCTATGTCCTATACTTTATTCTTGAGTTTTTGGGTTAGTAAGATGCCAAAGCTTGAAATTTATTTCTATTGAAACCAAAATTTGAGCTCTAGATCAGAAGAATGGAATGGGCACATTTTTTCTTCTTCCAGA